GGATCATGACCTGAGCCGAAGGCAGTCGCTTAACCAACTGAGCCACCCAGGCGCCCAAAAAAAATTTTTTTTAAAGATTTATTTATTTTAGAGATGGGGGAGAGGAGGGGCAGAGGGAGAGAGAAACCCAAGCAGACTCAGCTCTGAGCATGGAGTCCGTGGGGCTCGATCTCACGACCCTGAGATCACAACCTGAGCCAAAACCAAGAGTGGGACGCTCAATGGACTATGCCACCCAGGAGCCCCGGGGAAAAAATTTTTTTAAAGAACATCAGTGGGAAGATGAAAATCTGAGACACTAAGAAAAATAAAAATAGAAAATAGAATTTGAAAAAAAAGGGAAAGAAAATAGAATTAGAGATACTGATTTTAGATTAAAAAAAAAACAAAACTTGGGGCGCCTGGGTGGCTCAGTCGTTGGGTGTCTGCCTTCGGCTCAGGTCATGATCCCAGGGTCCTGGGATCGAGCCCCACATCGGGCTCCCTGCTCAGCGGGAAGCCTGCTTCTCCCTCTCCCAGTCCCCCTGCTTGTGTTCCCTCTCTCGCTGTGTCTCTCTCTGTCAAATAAATAAATAAAATCTTTAAAAACAAAACAAAACCAAAGCTGTAACTTTATCAGGTAACTGTTAATATAAATTCAGAAAACTTTAAACCTCCCAGACCTGAAACAGCCTGGAAAACACATGAAAAGTGAACACTGCGCAGGACCCATCGGTGTCAGACAGCATCTGGTTGACATGGCAGCGCCAGGCTTCTTCCTCGTCATCACACGCTACCGGCTGAAACGCAGCTATTATGGCAGAAAGAAACGGTGATGGAGGAGGTGATGTCTGGACTTCTGGGAAGCCATCTTGCTCTTCTTCATCTTGACTGTTAATACAAACATCACAGTAATCATAATACTATCTTAAAATAGTCAAAGTCATCCAACATAGATTATTTTTATTCAAATTTATGCATTGATTTAGAAAATGTACAACAACCTAAACTTTGTAAGAAAGTACAAATAAGCAGATATCTGTGTTCTTTCTACTGAGCATCTTTGGAATTAGAAATTAACTTTCAAGCAACCACCTTAAAACAAGCCAAGTCCCATAATATGCCATGCTGTGCAATAATTTCAGCAACTTCTGTGAATAACTCAGATTAGAATGCTTTCATTTTTAATGATCAATTTTGGAGGCTTTTTCATTGAACAGGTCCAAATTGATGATGATAACATGTAAAGCGTTCTGGCTTTCGGGTCAGGGGCTAGCTTAGCTGCTTTATATGGACTGTTTCAGTCCATCTTCACAGCAACTCTGAAGGTTAGGCTCATATTACCTCAGTTTTACCACGAGGAAACAAAAAGTTCAGTGAAAAATACTGTGCCTAGGTTATTGGGTAGGAAATGACAGAATCAGAATTTGAACCCAGGACTATGGGTCCAAACCCAAGGTTATCAGCCTTGACACATACTGGGAGCTCAGCTATTTCATGACTATATACCATGTGCCTCGAGGTGTGTCAGTAATAGACTGTGGACTCAAAGAAAAATAAGACCTGGCCATCTCTTTTGAGGAATTTATAATCCCAACAAAGTCAGATAATACAAACAAAAATGGAACAATGGAAAGAGATGAAGATATGTTTGGGTTGGCCATTCTATACAGAAATGTGTAACTCTGGGTCTTAAAGCTGAAGCGGGGTTTGAGTCAGACACTCCATAAAACAATGTGTTACTCAAGGTCTTAAATTTGCATGTTTCACATGACAAAGTAGCTCTATATGGCTTTACAGAAATTATGGAGCAATTCATATGGAAGGGAGGGATCTGAGTAAAGATGGGGGGAAGATCAAAATAAAACGGACATCTGAAGTGAAAACTAAGCTATACCTCAAAAAAGTATATTTTTACAATGTCACTGTGGTGACTGATTTTAACAAAATGTGTTTCTTTTAAGCTTGGGTGGCTATCCCTCCATATTTAGTAGGGATGCACTACTCTTTTTCAATCTTCAATACTTGGCCAAAGTCCCTAATTTGGCTTCAGCCTTTTAGAAAGCCCAATAGTTGAAGATCTACCTCCACATCATTTCTGGCATCCCTGACTTTGTGTATGATGAATGAATGAGTGATTGCAGAGGTTACTGCCGTCCAAATCGGTAATATGAACAAGGTGTGTCACCAAGATGGTTAATGTCTGAATGTACACTTTCAAATACAGGAAAATATTCTAGGTATACTGAAGAGTGAAAATCTCCTTCTGTGTTGTATATGTTAAAACTCTATTATCACTTGATGGGGCGCCTGGCCGGCTCAGTTGGAGGAGAATGCAACTCTTGATCTCAGGGCGTGAGTTCAAGCCCCATATTGGGTGTAGAGCTTACTTAAACACACACACACCCCCTCACACCCACACACCTCTCTTAGCACTTGAAATACAAATGAATGGTTTTTATTGTAAGAGTGAAACTCTGAAATATTTGATGATTAAAAATAATTATCAAGGAGCTTGAAATTATTGAATGGGGAAATAGATACACGGATAGTGCGTCAAGCTAGATAGCTTTATAAAGAACATTATTTTGAGCAGTATTTATAAAACTTAAATAAAAGAAAAATAGTAGATATTAGATTATATCATAATTCTAATCATTATAGAACTGTTTGGTTTACACATTTCATAACAGCCACCAAGATTTCTTCTAAGAACTATATGCAATAATTGATTACTCAATTTTGTTAACCCATGAGTGAATAAAATGCCCTCTTTGGGAATTCTTGATACTTTGCAATAATAATATATTTTGAATGTATGGAACATAAACATTTTAAAAGGAGTAATCTAACATCTGACAGTACCAAGAAATGATTACTTCTGCCCATTTTGTAAGTCAAACTTTACAATTCTCACCACTGATGAGGAAACTATAAAATAATTTTTTGGATAGATTTCACATTTATTTTAGTATCACATAAGTTCATCCCATGATTTTAATACTTGGCTCTGGCCATGGCCTAATATTGATTTTAACAACTGGCCATTTGGTATTTCACCAAAATAGGTATTTGGTGTAGAATGTTGCTCACTATGCTTTGTTTTTTCTTTAAACAAACTGAAGGTCAATAATAGAAAATAAACCCATCACAGTCATTTTTTTTTAAATGAACGCAGTATGATTATGGGCTAAAACACAGAAACAAAAGTAAGTAAACTGGAATAGAGCGTCATATTTGGGAGGGGCTCAGATAGAAAATATCACCTCATTCTAGTGTTTGTGATACCATATTCTCACCTAGACAGTCCAGAGAAATCAGCTTCTTCTTCTTCACATCGTTCATCTAGTTCTTTCAAAGCTAAGGTAACATCTTCTTCACAGATTGACTCAGGGTAGCTTTCGGGAGCTAAGGGCTCTGGCATGTCAGTGTCTTCTAAGTCCAGAATCCCCCGACACACAAGAGAATCCTGCTGTTCTTGAATCATGTATGAACCTTCATCTTCAACAAAGTTTGTAATAGCCTGTTCCTCCTTTAATACTGAACTTGTATCCTGTAAATCAATCACATTTTTTATCAAGTTTAAAAATATTAGAAATTAAAAAAAATTTTATTTCAAGTTTTTGTTTAAATTCTAGCTAGTTAACATATATAGTAAAATTGGCTTCAGAGAATTTAGTGATCTCATCACTTACATACAACACCCAGTGCTCATCATAACAAGTGCCCTCCTTAATGCCCAGCACCCATTTAGCTCATCCCCCCACCCACCTCCATCAACCCTCAGTTTATTCTCTGTAGCCGAGTCTCTTATGGTTTGCTTCCTTCTTTCCCCCCTTCCCCTATGTTCCTCTGTTTTGTTTCTTAAATTCCACATATGAGTGAAACATGGTATTTGTCTTTCTCTGACTTAATTTTGCTTAGCATTACACATTCTAGCTCCATCCACATCATTGCAAATGGCAAGATTTCATTCTTTTAGATGGCTGATTAATATTCCATTGTATATATACCACATCTTCTTTATCCATTCATCACTCAATGGCTATTTTGGCTCTCTCCATAGTTTGGCTATTGTTGATAATGCTGCTATAGACATCGGGGTGCAGGTACCCCTATGAATCTGTATTTTTGTATCCTTTGGGTAAATACCTAGTAGTGTAATTAATTGCTGGGTCATGGGGTAGTTCTATTTTTAACTCTTTGAGGAACCCTCATACTGTTTTCCAGAGTGGCTGCACCAGCTTGCATTCCCACCAACAGTGTAGGAGGGTTCCCCTTTCTCTGCAGCCTCACCAACATCTGTTGTTTACTGAGTTAATTTTAGCCATTCTGACAGGTGAGGTGGTATCTCATTGTGGTTTTGATTTGTATTTCCCTGATAATGAATGATGTTGAGCATCTTTTTCATGGGTCTGTTGGCCATCTTTATATCTTTTTTGGAAAAATACGGGTTCGTGTCTTCTGCCCATTTCTTAACTGGATTATTTATTTTTTGGGTGTTAAGTTTGGTAAGTTCTTTATAGATTTTGGATATTAACCCTTTATCAGATTTGTCATTTGCAAATGTCTTCTCCTATTCCGTTGTCAACACTAATTTTAATGGACATGTATATTTAATTGGTTTGAAAATAAGCACTTAATGGCTCAGTTTTAGAGGAGTAAAGATCAGCTCTTTTCAAAGGTGCTTAGTCCTAAGTTACTACTTAGTTGTGTGGTAGCTTCTTTTCTTCTTGGGTCAAAGTAGGATTTTTCTTCCAAAACATGAAAAGTAAGTGAAACAGCCCTTGACCTTAGACCAGTCTGGGCCTCAGTTTATACATCTGTAAAATTCATCTATAACATAAAATGAGTGAAGGATTTTGACCAGATTCTGGGCTGGGTGCTCTGGGATAAATCAATAACTATCTACAATTAGTTTACAACCTAATAATGGGGTTAGTCTAATATGCAAATAATAATCATCTAGAGTACATTAAGTGTAAGGTAAATATTATGAGTAATATACAAAGGACTACTGGTACTCAAAAAAGGGAAAGGTCACAGCTAGTTGAAGCATGGAGACTAGTCTCTTTGGAGGAAACAACATATGATGAGTTTTGACAAAGATGGGTTAGTGATGGTGTCACGGACTGAATGCTTTTATCCCCTCAAAATGCCTATGTTGAAACCCTAACCCCCAATGTGGTATACCAGAATATAGGGCCTTTGGACGGTGATTAGGTTCTCAGGAATGGGATGAGTGCCCTTACAAGAAGAGGCCAGAGAGCCAGCTAGTTCTTTTTTCTCCCATGCGAGGACACAGCAAGAAGGGCTACCAGGAAGAGGCCTTCCCCACACAATGAAATCAGCTGGCAACTTGATCCTGGACTCCTTGGCCTCTAGAACTGTGAGAAGTAAATCTCTGTTGTTAAGCTACCCAGTTTCTGGTGTTTTGTACTAGCAGCCCAAGCGGACCAAGACAGCATTATCAGGGAAAAGGACTTAGAAGACAGGAATGGCACAGAAACGTGGCAGGAGAACATGAAGGCTATTACGGGAACACTGGCCTGGAGTTAGTGAAGCAGGGAAGGGAGCAAATTCTGACTCTGCATGGAACAGTACTTTTTAAATAATATAGGACAATCATTCCTTAATAATTCCAAAAACTTATATTCAATACACTCTGTTTGCATTGGAAACTTTTTAAAAAGAGATTTGGCCATTTAAAGTGGTAAGCATTAGTTATTTGGAGAGATAGTTTATGTGATAGTGCTAGAGATATTTCTACACCTAGAGATTTTATTAGCATTAATCTTTCCCTCTACATCGATTTGAATATACCATGTTGAAATAACCCACCAAACTTCTTAATGTCCTCACTTTTCATTAGTTTATACTTGTATTTGGTTGACATTTCTTACTGAATAATAATTAGAAAATAGATGTTTTATCTGTAGTTATTAACATATACTATATGCCGAAATTTTCTAGGAACACCTAGATTTCATGAAGAGAGTGCTTTTGGGCTAATGGAATGGATTCCACTGTTATGTGCACATTATGAGAATCAAATTTTCTTGAACTTTATCTTATGATGCCTGTATGTACACATAGCCCGTCCCCCCATTACATTCAAAGATTCATGTCCTATAAGAAATAATTTCTGCCATCCATGAATTGGTATCTAAACTATTCTAAATTCTAGAAGAAATTCCTCTGTGAAGTTTTCTCTAATAAAAGCAAGTGAAGAACTTAATCCCTTAACAGCTCAGAGTGTAATTTATATATATTACAGAGAAGAAAGGAGCAAATGGCTCTGAAGTTTCTGTCATGACATGAAATGTGTTGGCCTCTTCTGTTTTATCTTCCTGACATTAACATAATTTAAGGGGAAAAAAACTCTCAGACAATTCTAGGAATGGATTCTCCCTTTAATTCAAAGTATTTCACCCATTAAAATTAATTCCTCTTCTTAAGAAGTTGCTTTAAAAAACAGAATTATGGTTTTATTTCATTATCTTGGTGTTTTCATGCTTTTTAAAAAAGGACAATTTGAGGTCATTTGTCCCATCTGGCATACTAGGGAAAAATAAGTTAGGCTAAAATACCTAATATTCTCCTGAGGACAGCCATTCTTTTGGTGATAATTTTAAAGTCAACAGAACTGTTTCTAAATAAAATACTATGGTTTACGAATATCTCCTTCATCCTCATTCACCTGTGTCACAAAGCTTATAGCGAAAATGAAACCCATGACTGGAAAAGGAAATAAACCCAGTAAAGTGAAGTGTTTTTCCTTTAGGAAAAGAAATAGATCATCAGGAACTTTATAGTGCCTTGGAAACAAGCCATCAAATACAGTCCTGTTGGATGAATGGCTGTCCCATCTGAAATAACACAGTTCCCAATATATATGGAAATATATGTGAATTTCCAATTTATTTCCAATAAATGAGTGATTTCTATCAGAAGTTTACTGTGATTATAGCTATTTTAATAACCAAAAATAAAAGACTTCCCATTTGTCAAGTAAACAAAATGACAACACACAACCATTAACCTTACTGCTTTTGTTAAGAAGGTATTTCTAGTATCGGTCTGTTTTCCATTGTTTCTAGTAAGACCTTTTTACATGCTATGATCCAAACCAGACACAGTTGATAGATTATTAACTAGGAATTAACACTCACATAAAAAGCCTCCCCACAACTGAAAGGAATACAGTCTACTTACAATGCATCTCTAAATTGGTCAGTTCTCTCCTGGAAACATTTCTCATTTCGTGCACTCTTCCTTCAGGCCCCATTATCTCTTGCTAATTTTCTTCTGGTTTATCTCCCCATCTCAGCCTCCTCCTGCCCACCCTCCACACCTCCGACAAAGAGACTTCACTAAAACACAAACCAGACTGTGCCTTCCCCTGATGACAGGCACCTAGACCGCAAGCTCCACGTGACGGGTACTAGAACTTCCTTTCCTTTTTCCACACACAAAAAGAGAGATTTTAAAAAACAAAATCAGATCGTATCCCTCTTCTGCCTAAAATCCTCCAATGCTTACCTGCTATGTGGCTCTAGGTCCCCCCCACCAACTCCTCTACGCAGCCCCTCCTGCTCACTGTGCTTCAGCCTCATTGGTGGCCTGCTCTTCGGCTACACCAGGGCCTTTGTAGCTGCTGCCCCCCCAGCCTGGGATATCCTCCCTCCACATCTCTTTGTCACTTAGGTTTCACCTCAAATGCCACCCTTTCTTTCTCACAATTCCACATTACTGTTAGTTCTTCTTAGTATGACTACGAGGATGATCACCTTCTGATATGTTATTTCTATTTTCTTTGTCTTACCTGTTTATCATTCCTTTTACTACAATTAAGCTCCATAAAACCAGAAGCCTTTGTTCCACATGGCGCCATATGCCCAGTGCCCAGAATAGCGACCAGCAAGCAGTAGGGGCTCCATAAATATGGGTTAAATCACTGAATACTTGCATGCCCTGTATTCTCATCCAGGTATCTGGCACGGTGCTTGTCAAACAACAGGTATCTCTTGAAACAATGAAAATTCATGGCTTTTGATCATCCTGAGGTCAGTCTAAGTCTTCAGTATGGCATGGAGGACCCCGTCTCATCTTAGACCCTAACCATCTCTCCTTTTTCTCCTCCTATTTCATTCTCTAGAAATACTCAATTTCCTGCTGTTACCTGAATAGCCATGTTATATCATGCTGCCATGTCTTTCCACATGCTGTCCCTCTGCCTGCAATGTCCCAGTTGCCATGAGGCCTGTCCTTTACCACCATCACCCCAATGTACAGCTCATCAGTCTCTCCTGAGGTTTCACAAAAGCCCAGACATGGCTGTTAAGTTTCTTACATGGAAATGTAATGCTTTTTTTTTTTTTTTCCCCAACCTTCTCTGTCTTCCTTAATAGACAATGCACTCCCTGAGAGTAGGGGTCACCATACCTTAATTCATCTTTCAAGCACCTAACTCAGTGCCTGGCATATAGGAAAATCTCAATATTTGTTGAATTATCTAAACTTAAGCCATACTAGCCATATATTTTTAAAAAATGCCAAAATGCCTTCATTTCAAACTGTGGTTACTGTTAAAAATGTAAAATACACTATCAGCCTAATAAGAACACGAGAATTCAACTAACTAAAATAATGAGATCTAGCAACATTAATTTGGTTAACTGTGAAAAAAATATAGTATTTTCCTAATACTTACCAAAGCATTAAAGCACATATGACAGAACTATAGCAATTGTAGCTTAAAAAAAAAAGAAAAAAAGAGTATCTATAATAATCTTAAGGAAAAAAAACACTAAGAAAACTAATACTTACTTATTTTTGGGGTCAGTCATTAGCTTGGAATCTGGCTTACTTCTCACAGGCCTTTCCAAAAGTCATAATACTAGTAGTTCCAAAGTCTTTTTAAAAGGTTTCATTTAACCAACCACTAACACAGCTGGCCTGAGGTTTTAATCCCAATCATAGCACCAATCACATAAACCCAAACACAAAGCAAAAAGAGAAGAAAAAACAAAAGCAGTCCTTCAAAGAAGATACAGCGCCAAAGAAGATGCTCACCATCCCCAGAGAAGCGTCTGTACATTGACCTAAATCACACTCTGCAACACAAAATGCTCATTCAAAACACTCACGATTATTTTTAACCTGTAGGTCATTTCCTTAATCCAGCAACTTTTTTTTAATTATCAGATTTGACTATTTCATTTAAAGCAACCTGACAGGTTAGAAATACTGTCAACAAATCAAATAATTAGTGTATCAGGTGAAAACTCTTTTGAAAGAAAAGCAAGGGATGTAACAGAGTGCTAAAAAGAGCCCAGATTGGCCATGCACCAGCCCGCCTTTCTCCCCACCTCAGGCAGCTGGCTGTTAGCATTATCTAGAGAAGCCTCCAAACTTGGGGTCTCATCTCTGATTTGAAGCACTTCTTCTGTTGAGACGCTGCCCGTGGAATCTTGTGACTGAAGAAGTAAATCGGGATGGTCTGGTATCGTTTCATCCGCAGCACCATCACTGTTCAACTAAAAGGAGAAACAGTAAAGTAAGGAATTCATTCACAAATCAGTGATGGTCACAAAGGCCACAAGGAACAGATTCTAGATCATCAGATATTTTGGGAGCTTCGTTAGAAAGAGCTTCTTTGACTTTGTAAAATGACCTCTGCCCTCCCTTCTGTCTACGACGGAATCGGTGCCGTTGATACAAGCAGCTACCCGTTCATGCAGGGTAAATGTCACCAAACAAAAACTACCAACGCGGAGGAGCTCCATGTGACCATGTTCACCTTGAACTGAAATTCGTATTTTTTGTCCTAGATCTTTTTTTAATTTATGTTTTTAATTAACATACAGTGTACTATTAGTTTTAGAGGCAGACTCGCCATCGCTAGGAGAGGAGGGAACGGCCTCAGCTGCTAAGGGGTGTGCAGCATCAACGTAGATGCTTAGTTCTGTCATGAACAGAACACTCCACTAGCAAGGCAATTTGGTATTTTCATTTCAGCATGTGCATTTTACCCAAAGTGAAATGAAAATCAGGAAAATCAAGCCAGAGTAATCACTAAATCGGAAGTTAAGAGGAAGGCAAGACCAACTTCGCTCTGTAAGGTGGCTGTTTACCATCTGCGTGCGTGAGAGTATCTGGCTTGCTGTGAGCGCTGCCTCCTCTTCTGACGACTCATCTGTATCCTCCTGGTTGGTTAGGTTCAGGCTGGGCGTGCTGCTGGAGCATTGGTACTCCTGGAGGGACGGAGTGTCCCCCTTGTCGATGCTATCCAGTGAGCGCCTGCGGACTCCCCAGTTGAAGTTGTCCATACTTTCACCCTGGAAAAGTCAGACATGATTTCTAAGACCCCAGACACGTGTGAATATGGTCAACATAATACGCCAGGAAAACATGAACCAAGATGAGAAATACTTAATGCATCCTCATAAGCAGAGTTTCAATCAGCCCTTCAATTTCTCGAAACTTTTAAAACATCATTAAATATTTATACTTAAAGAGGTCAAAGATCTGGTTGAGCCTGTTTTAACTAAATAATTTTCTTGACTTTCTATCTTGCATGACTGGGGACCAACTAAACCTACAAGCTAGGCCATTTCTATTCTAACACACAAACACAAAGGAGACCACGAAGAAGACAAATACATCACAAATGACAACACATAAACAGTCCACAACACCAGGCTGCAACTTACCTGCAGTTCCTGGTTAGCAAAAAGGAAAACACACAGAATTAGAAAGAACGAAGACAAACATTTAAATATACACTACACCTTGGGGGGAAAACTCTGTGTGATTTCTCAAACCCAAAGACTGATTCAAGCTCTGGATTAAGCTCGGAGTAGGAAGCCAACATGTGATTCAAATTACTTTTTTATGCAAGATATATTATGAAGAAGTCAGAGACAGACACTTAAAACAACATTTCTATGATACACTTTGGCAACACAAACTTTAAGAAAATCTTCAAAATTTACATGGATTTAATACTTGATACAATGCAAAACTGACTTAAAATACCCACATTCAGTTGACAACATACAGGGTCACAATTATTTTAGTCTGCAGGATGGTTCTGGCTAAACCCATTTCTTGCTATAAAATAGTTTAAAATCAAGATCAAAACATAACCTTTTACAACTTCAAAAGGTCAAGAGGAAATAAGACAGATTTCAATTTCATGCCTTTTATGGATTTATATAAGTTATGTTTCTGTTACTCTAAACTGATCCTCCTTTTGCAAGGATGTAATTCTTATATTCTCTCTTAAGCCCTGATATGACAAATTACAATGAGTTGGCCAGCAAAACAGGATTTGTGTTCCTTTTTACTCAAGAGGGACTGTCCAGGGCGCCTGGGTGGCTCAGTCGGTTAAGCGGCTGCCTTCGGCTCAGGTCATGATCCTGGAGTCCCGGGATCGAGTCCCGCATCGGGCTCCCTGCTCAGCAGGGAGTCTGCTTCTCCCTCTGACCCACCCCCCTCTCATGCTCTCTCTCTATCTCATTCTCTCTCTCAAATAAATTAAAAAAAAAAAAAAGAGGGACTGTCCAAAATAGAGGTTTTCAAATCCTTTTGTTTAATAAAGCAAAGGAATACTTCTTTCTTTCCTTTTTTTTTTTTTTTTTTTTTTTTTTTAAGATTTTATTTATTTGAGAGAGAGAGCACAAGCAGGGGGAGTGGCAGAGGGAGAGGGAGAAGCAGGCTTCCCGCTGAGCAGGGAGCCCGATGCGGGGCTCGATCCCAGAACCCCGGGATCATGACCTGAGCTGAAGGCAGACGCTTCACGACTGAGCCCCCCAGGCACCCCAGGAATACTTATTTCAAATGAGATTCAAAACGGAAGTCAACTGTGCAAAACTGATGAACAAAATCCAGGCTGCTCTGGTTGAAAAAAGGTAGCCAGGAGCTCTGCCCACTTGGCCCTTGGATTTCTCCCTGTTTCTCAGGCTGTTAGAGGCCCTGCAGGTCAAAGTTTGAAAAGCTATCTTCCTACAAGGTATTTCAAATAGTTATGTAGCATAGCACAGAGTAAGGGCAACACACAACAGCCCTCAGTCTTTATTTGGTGAATGAATGAATATACACGGGGAGCTTTCAAGGTTGGGGGTATTTTAGAAGTTTAATTAAGAGTTCCATTTGTTTTGTAGCAAAGTGTTTCCTATTACCATGTTTTAAGCAAGACTATATTTAGGTTTTAAAGATTTGCCTAATTATGAGGCATAAATTAACACCACTTTCCCCAAATCACTGACTTGAATTAAAGAAAAAACTACATTAAACATCTTTAATTTGACTAAGGTTCTATTCAAAAGCCATATTTACTGGGGCGCCTGGGTGACTCTGTTGGTTAAGGACCAGACTCTTGATTTCAGCTCAGGCCATGGACTCAGGATCATAAGATCAAGTCCTGCACTGGGCTCCGTGCTGGGCATGGAGCCTGCTTGGGATTCTCTCTCTCTCCTTTTCCCCCCACTCTCCCTCTCAAAAAAAAAAAAAAAAAAAGCCATATTTATTACTATTGACGTTTTAGGGTATGGGATGAACTTGGAAGCATTTATAGAGTTCTTAAAACAAACAAACAAAATAAATAACCTTACCATTACAAACATGTCAAGAGCCTGTCTGCCTTTAGAAATTTTAAACTCTCAAATGAAAAAAAGTCTAACTACAAAAGAATTTAGAAGCTGCTCATGCCCTTGAAGTAGGGCAGCAGGCCTCTTGAATCCATCACACTTTCTTGCCTGATTATTCAAGCCAATCCTATTTCCTACAACATGTTTTTCAAATTGGGGATGTGAAATCAATTTTAGAGGGTGATGACCTGCCATTTTGGAAAAAAAAATGAAAGAGAATAGGAAACATCAGTATGCATAATAGATAGAGTAAGGCTGCATATTTTTTTTTTTTTTAAGTAATCTCTATGCCCAATGTGGGGCCCAAACTCATGTCCCCAAGGTCAAGAGTCACATACTCCACTGACTGAGCCAGTCAGGTGCCCAAATTTTTTAAAGATTTATTTATTTTAGAGAGAGAGAGACAAAGAAAGAGAGAGAGAGAGAGAGAGAATGCTTGAGCAGGAGGAAGGGCAGAGGAAGATAATCTGCAAGCAGACTCTCTGCTGAACATGGAGCCCCACGTGGGGCTCCATCCCAGGACCCATGAGATCATGACCTGTGCTAAAACCAAGAGTTGGAGGCTTCACCGACTGAGCCACCCAGTCACCTGAAACTTTAATTTTAAATGTATGTGTATTTAGATTCTTGGACATGATATAAAATGTATTAACTATGCATTATGGTTAAAAAAAAAAAAAAAACACTTTAAAAGCCACTGCCCTACGAGGTGCTGAATAATACTTGTTTTGGGGCTCCCGTGTTCTTTGGGAACATGTCAACGGTGAGCCATTCCACAGAAGCCGGTATAGCTCCCAAGCTAGTGCAAAGGCATTTGGTTCGACCCTAAGCCACCATGTGCATATCCTCCCATGTGCAAGGGAGGCTGAAGCACAGAGGAGGACCTCCCTAAACTGGTCTCTCAGCAGCTACCACTGTGACATGGCTCAGGCCATTACGTTTCATTCCCCCTCACCTATTAGAGCCAAAGGAAACATCCCTTCATGAGGGTTAATGAAGGCATACAATTACATATGAGTGACTTTAAATTCTTTTTTTTTAAAGAACTTTTTTTTTTTTAGATTTTATTTATTTATTTGACAGAGAGAGAGAGAGAGATAGCGAGAGAGGGAATACAAGCAGGGGGAGTAGGAGAGGGAGAAGCAGGCTCCCCGCTGAGCAGGAAGCCCGATACGGGGCTCGATCCCAGGACCCTGGGATCATGACCTGAGCCGAAGGCAGACGCTTAACGACTGAGCCACCCAGGCGCCCCGAGTGACTTTAAAATTCTTTGGAGAAAGGTATCTCAACTGACATGCTATGGGTACTAGATGACAAGTAATTTTGGGCTTCTCAAATACAGATATTTATAAAAATTTTAGAATGCACATTTTTTAAACCCATGTGACATAAACGTTTCAGGTTTAGGAGTTGCAAGTTTAGGGGACTGAGCTACAGGAATAGGTCCCTAAATAGCCTAACACAATCGGGACGATCCTGTTCTCTTTGCCACAATGATTGTTTCAGAAATTGGCAAATGTCCCTGTTTGGCCCAATAATATGATGGGAAGTGTGCTAAAAACATTTAGGAGAGCAACTTCTTCACTTCCACTTCTTCAGCACAAGAGCATCTCTGAAGTGACCCTCACTTGCTTTGAACACTGCTGCATGTGGACATAACCATCTGGCAGAGACTTGCAGAGAAATAATCAGAGACCTCACTGAGCCATATCTAAGTAAGCTCTACCTCTGGCCTATCTCAGTTCTGTAAGCTAATAAGTCCACCTTTTGAGTTAGATTTTCCATCTCGAAATCATCTGAACTGACACACAACTATCAACTTAATCTAGACTGAATCAATTTAGAGGAGAAAGCCCTCTGGTGCTAAATGAGATGAGTCACTTGAGGGAGTTGGCTATGTCATGAAGAAGAAAATGGTGAGGACATCACAGGTAGAATATCGGTCGCTTGCCACAGGAGAGAGTTCTAGAGAGCCGAAGCCTTCGTAATCATGTAAGTTCATTTAACTTAATTTAGTGTAAGCGTTTGTACTTATACTTTAAAATGGTGTTTAATAAATCTTAATATATTTTTTTTTACCATTTTGCTGCGTATTAAATTGTTTAGCTCATGCAAAACATTTAAGTCTAAGCACACCCTAGATTAAAGACCTACTTTGGAAGAAACCCATTTTTCACTTTTTATTTTCTGGGGAAAAAATTAAAAATTAGATTTCCTCTTTCCTCTTTTGTTTCAGACTACTTCTGCTACTGACTAATCGTACTAGTCACGTTTGTTCCCAATTTAGATTTTTACCTCCTTCTTTTTAAAAAAAAATTTTATGTATGTCTGTATATGTGTATATAGTTTCAAGTTTTTATTTAAATTCCAATTAGTTAACATACAGTGTAATATTAGTTTCAGGGATAGAACTTAGTGGTTCATCACTTCCATACAACACCCAGTGCTCATCAGAAGTGCCCTTCTTAATCCCCATCACCCAGTTAACCAAACTTTTACCTTCTTCACCTTACACTGATCTTAACAAGTAATGGTCCTACGGTCAAATCCTTAATTCTTATACACTTGCAACTGCAAACTATAAATATGATAACGGAGAGCCCACATCCTTACCTCTGCATCTTCCAATTCAACATCTAAAAAGTCAAAATCCTTAAAAACGCCAAACTGTTGTTCACTGCTGTTATCCTCCACGACGACTTCTTCCTCCTGGATCATGTCTTCTGTTGTAGAAATCAGGCTGGTCTGTTGGTCCCCGACTTCCAAATCCTCATTAGAAGAAAACACAACCTGACCCCCGGCCAAAGAGAAAGAAAGCAAAGCCACCCGTCAGCTTCGTCACTCTGCGTCTGAGGCACTGGTGCCCGAGAGAAGCCCCCACAGGCCTCCTCGGTCGATGAACTCAGAGCTTTAATCTGGTTTTCATGCTACCGTCTAACCGGCTGAATACTTCATTACCATAACTGCCAAGCCCCACAGAGACAAGTAATATCTTTTTCACTCTTAATTAATGCCATAAAATAAGGGAAGTTAGGAAAGGCAAGCAAGAAGCTGGAGTAATTTGCATTTCTTCATGGAACAAGAGGATTTTTAAAACCTTTACACATGCCGTTGTGATTACTCACTGATGGATTCTTTGGAAGGCCAGATTCTGGACCACAGAGAGAAAGCACATTCATTAGCTTTTCTCTTGTTCTTCGCTAAGAAAAAAAAAAAATTCAAAGGTTAGGATCACCGATAAGTAAGGCAAATTCTCAAGCTGTCATACATACAACAAAATTGATTCTTCTATAAATGTTCACTTTTGATGGTTTTTTATGTACCTGTGATAACTGTGGCCTTTTCCAACTAACGGGAACCAAGGCATTAGAATTAGAACCAGAAGAAGTGGAGGAAGTACTCCTGGTAACGGCAATAACTTTCGGTTTCCCATTCCTCCCAGCTGCGCTAGGCTGGTCGCCGTATTTATTTCCAATAATTGGTGTCTGCACAGAAACAAAAATGACAGTGTCTGACTCAGATATTTCAGCATTAAAGGACTGGGAGTGTATCTACGAGGACTTTTTTTTTTTCCTTACAAACAGAAACAACAAAAGGTGAAAGATTACTTAGCATGAAGTAGATGTTACAAAAATCAAAGGTAATGATGTCTTTTTTAAATTTATTTTTTAACGTTTATTTATTTATTTAAGTCATCTCTACACCCAACGTGGGGCTCAAAATCACAGCTCTGAGATCAAGAGTTGCATGCTTCTCCAACTAAGCCAGCCAGGTGCCGCCCAAGATGTCTTCTTTTTTTCTTTTTTAATCAGAAGACTTCACTTTATTGAAAATGACTCTCTGAGAACGCTATCAGAGAGCTTATTCCTATCTATCTATTTATTTATTTTGGTGGGCAGCAAAGTTTATTGAACAACAGTATAAAGCTCCCCAAGAGGAAGGGGACCCAAGAGGGTTGCCCAGCTTATTCCTATTTTAAACAGAGATCTGCTTTCTTTAAGAACCACCACCTCCTCATCTTCCCCCGCCGATGATTATAAAATATATCCTCTTTGAAAGCTCAGAAAATATTAAGATGATCTTTAAAAAACTACCTGTAATCTTATCACTCAGATTTAACATCTATTAACATTTTGGTGTTCTTTCCATGCGTATTGCTGTATGTGCTTCAATAAGGTGCTTTTGCAAATATTCAAGCTAAGTAACAACTCCAAAGAGGAAGGTATCTATGTAGCTTCTTACCACAATCTGATGTATAACACGTTTCCAAATTTTTATCAGTAAAAATTCTATGATTATCCAAAACTCATTTATATTTATTCTGGCTTTGTGAACTGTCTTGCATTTGCATTTGAAAATAACAGTCAAGCTTATCTGCATGTCATACAAGTCCCTTTATGACGTGGTTCCTGCTTATCTCCCTGACATCACCTTTTACCACACCCACCTGAACTTGACACTCGAGCAAAACTGAACTTGCTACTGTCTTCCAAACAAACCATGTTCTTATGGATTTATGTTTTCACACATGCTGCCCCCTTTGCATGGAATATTCACCAACCAACCAAACCCGTGATCATCTTTTAATGGGAACTCCAGACTTCCAAGGAGGCCTTCCCTGATACCACATATCTGGGTAATTATATGTGGACATTTGCCAGGTGTTGGTGACTTGTTTATGTGGCTGTCTCCCCTACACGTGAGCTCCTCCACTATCTCTCCACTGCCTACACACAGCAGGTACTTAGGAATTTTGATGAAACAAATTGAAATTAAGCATATCAAGTGTTTTGAGAATTCTTACCACTGCTTTAGACAAGATACTTAGGAACAGGAAAGCCCAGTTTCTCCATCATATCCTATGCTACGTATTCCGTGACAGAATTTTGATATTAACTAAAAAATTAGCAATAAACATAGCTCCTTTCTATCTAAAAAATGTAACCCATAAAGCTTGGGACAAATTCTAATACCAGGGCTAAACAGCAAAAAAAAATTTTTTTAATCTATGTGATCCTGATCAATACAAAAGTGATCAGATCTTCCATTTTCATTGTTCTCAACTTCCTTACAATACTTGTTCAGTAACTTCATTCTTGAGAAATTCCTTCTTTGGCTTCTAAAAGATGATTTTAATGGCTCCACGGCCAATAAGAATGGGTTCAAGGTGCTGGAAAAAAAATTGGGGGTTCCCAACAAGGGTCAAAAATTTTTATGTGAGGTTTGTGTTAAATATGTGACATAATAAAGGGCCCAGTTTCCTTCTGCACTGGGGCCCTGCATCTCTAAAGTATCAGGCTTCTCAGGTCTTAGTTTATTTTAGTTTCACTTTTCCTTTCACGATTTTAACTGTCCATTTCTAAAACACTGAAGACCTTACATTGTTACTTCCACCCAAGTTTTCCTCTAAAACTTCAGATCTTAAAATCGAACTGCCTACTAGGCAGCTCCACTGGTATGAGTCTTAGCGTCAGAGTTGGTATAGCCAAGACTGACCTCAGCACCCTCCCCTTCCAGCTAAGATCTGTTCTCCTTGCCTCTTCATTCTCTCTGAAAGGCATCAACATTCATCTAGTTGGAAAAGTAACTGTCCTTGATGCCTCTTCCTCACTTAGTACCTCCTCTCCTTCCCATGAAATCCTGTTTAGGACTTCCTTAGTCTTTTTGAAAACCATCCCGACCCTCTTCATTTCCTCCGCAAATGCCTAGAGACATTCCAACATTGTCTTTTAATTATTTTAGTAGATTCCTTATTGACTTCCCTCTCTTCCACCCTGGTCTATTTTTCCATCCTGTTGCCAGAGGAAACTTCCCAAAATGCAAATCCTACTATTTCCACTCCAGTTAAAAATTCTTTAAGAGCTTCTACTGCTTCAAGACAAAACCATCTTGTTATGATGCATGCAAGATCCTTACGATCTTGCCTCTTCCTGTGCCTTCAATCTGGTTTTCAGATTGGAATCTGGAATTTCAAATTGGAAATTTCCAGAACACCATGCTTTCTTACACTTACAAGGCTTCATTCATACATGCTGCTCTTTCTTGCATTAATCTTCTCTCCCCAAACTCCCATATATGCCCGTCCAGGGTTACTTTATCTTTCAACACTTAGATCAGGTTAGATATACATGCTGTATTTTCCTAAAGTACTTCTAATGACTTCCAACCAAAGCACTTATCACAATGTTTATTTACCCATTTCCCCAAGAGTCTGTAGGCTTTCCCTAAGTACAGGGCCTTTCCCCACCCCCACCCCATTTTCACAGCACCTATCACATTTCCAACTGAGTATGAGCTTAATCAACACTTGTTGAATGAGAGAATGAATAAATGAACAAATGAAAATTTCTAATAGAGCACCTTACCTCAGATATATCAAAATGAAAATCTAAGGTCTTCCCAGGCAACTCCTTAGAGACATTATTAAAAATCTTGGTGAAGGATATTTCAGAAGAACCTATATCTCCTCCATAGGTCTTGGGTATATCATTGGGTACAACAAGACTTGCAGAGCGAGACACCACCAGTTTTAATATGTTAAGGGCTTCCTTCCAATAAGGACTCTGGTTTAAAAAAAATAATAGACATATAAAAGTTACAAATATATATTTAACTAAGAACAAAAATGTAGTGTACACTGTAAACAATGAAAATATTGTTTCTATAAAAACTTTTGTAAAACATTCATTTTTACTTTAAGGCCCTTAACAGAGGGTCTGAGTTACAACAGGTAAGAAAATTATTTTTCTACTGTCAGATTTATGAGACATCATATACATAATAATGCTACCAACTCAGAATACCTTGCATTTCTCTTAATAAGTGCTTTGTAAATATTAATTTAGAAAGTCTAAATAGTAATCTCACAGTAGTGGTAAACAAAAGGGTTGTGTATATGTGAACTTTCTAGATGAATGAAGTTATGGCTTTAAGACGCCAAACTTCAAATATTTTAAATCTTGGAGACAATTTTTAATGCATATTTTTTTCAGACGTAAAAATATTTTAAAAAACTAAAAAAAATTTAGATTTTTCTTGATGACCCAAGCCCAAATCTGAATGGTAGGATTGGTATGATTCCTAATTCTGATTAATCATTACAATTAAAGTGATGTTCTCAGGCGTTACTGAGTTGTATAGGGTGAGTTTTTTTCCCCTACATATGTGGCTACATTGCCATCTGATTGGCCCTCAGGACTACAAAGAGGCCAGGTTGAGTTATTGAGGTCTTTATTTTTCTGCTTTTAGTTTTGTGTATTTTTACCAACATAATTTAAAAATGATTTACATGACCATGACAGATATTTGTAGAGAAGAATCAATTTTTTTTTTTTTCCAGAGAGTGTGTATGTGCAAGTGGTCGGGGGGTGGGGTGGGCAGGCAGAGGAAGAGAGAAAGAGAGAGAGAGTCTCAAGCAGGCTCCACACCCAGCATGGAGCCCCACACAGGGTTTGCTCTCAGAGTCAGATGCTTAACCAACTTAGCCACCCAGTTGCCCAAAGAAGAATCATTTTCTAATGAAGAATTTACAGTATTTTTTTACCCCATCTATTGAAAAGCATACACATTAAAAAACTGTTTTTTTTCCCCCTGACTTATGGTAACAAAATCACACCTCAGTCTTGTGTCCTACATACTGTGTCACAGGTGACCATTCTGAGGGGGAAAATGCCACTAAAACGACAATAACAAACAGCAAGTGAAAAATCTTTGGCAGAACTGAGTTATCCAATTTATTTAATAACATCTTGATATGAGGACACCTAAAGCACAAAATATTCAATAATTATAAAAATGTCCACATAGATATTATGACATTTTAAGCACATACTTCATTGTAAAAAAAAAAAATTAAAGTAGTTTATATTTAACAAAGTTATGACATTTTTTTTGACAGAAATAATTAGAAGCTCTGAACACTGTAAAAAGTTAAAACTTCAGGGATGTTTCTATAAATTATATTGGTAGTTGTGCTTGAAATATAAAAGATTATCAGGAGGAGTTCAATTCTGTGAAATGTTTAATGTTTGAATAAAGCAGAAGTCACTAACTGTGAAAGACCCATCAGCTAAATATGACTTTGGTCCATACAAAATTTAAGAAATTTGGGTCATTTTGAAATTAGAGGAGATTTTAAAGAAAAACCCACATTTCCAGCTTCTCTTCAAAAATTACAAGTTCTCGCCACACTGGATCTGTCCTCCAACATGGCAGCCATTAGGGGAAGCTAAGTTGTGCTGTTCCTTTTAGACGGGGAATGTGCCATTCACTTAGAAATCTATGCCCTCTTATGACCACCTGCTTGCCCAGTGGATATGTGAGCTTGTGGTTCTGAACATAAAGAAATGCATCTGCATTTTATAAATTAGTAGTTCAATGTGGTATGTGTCTCTGTGGGAGATGCAGCAAATATTTGATGAGTTAACTTCTTTACGCCTTAAGAAGAAAAGAGAAATGTGCTTTAGAAAAAAAAATATAATTGTTTGGTGAAGTATTACTCATTGAGAGAGAAGATAGGATAAACGAAAGAATCTTACATTTTTTGATTATTTGCATTCACCGACTGTCAAGGGAATTTTATTTTTATTTATTTATTTATTTTTAAAGATTTTATCTATTTGAGAGAGAGACTGAGAGAGAGAGAGAGCATGAGAGGGGGGAGGGTTAGAGGGAGAAGCAGACTCCCCGCAGAGCAGGGAGCCCGATATGGGACTCAATCCTGGGACTCCAGGATCATGACCTGAGCCGAAGGCAGTCGTTTAACCGACTGAGCCACCCAGGTGTCCATCAAGGGAATTTTAAAAAGAATTTGATTACCTAACAATAATGGAAACCAACACAGTTTTATTACTTTCAATATGAGCTAAGACAAAAACTCATTACTAGCCAAGTTATTTCCATTTGTAAGTTTTGCTTTAGTGAATGCAATTATAACTGCAGTAGAAACAAAATATTAATCTGTTAAGGCTCTTAAACAGTTTGTTCTCTTTCATAAGTTGTATCCACAATACTGATCTGCTCAGCAAGGCCTTTCTTAACAGATAATTCAAAGGTGAAATTCAGTATAGACCAGACTGACTTGTCATCATTTACATTAAATCAAGTTTGATTTTCTTTCTAAATACCTGGGCTCTTTGTATCAGACACAGAAAGCAAGTCTAAAATACAGACTCTACAAAGAGCTCTTCTGTTTCTAAAAGTACTATTTGTTCATTATGTAGAATCTGGGTAGTGGCAGGAAGGCACAGAAGAGTCCCAAGTGTACTGTCCAGAGGGGAGGAGAGCTGCTATCTGTGTACATTCTTTCTAGTCATTACTGAAATGTATATTCACAGATGTAATGATTAATCAAAATTAGGAATCATGCCAATCGTACCATTCAGATTTTGCTTTTTTGTCACTTACATTATGAACATTTTTTTCCATGTTGTAAATATTCCTGGAAACATGACTTATGGACTAACTACTTTCTACTCTAGGAACTTCAGAGTGTTTTTTTATGATTAAAAATGGTTCTGCAACGAATAAATTCTATACATAAATTTTGTGGTCACTCACCTGTACATATTTGCCAAGAATCTTTATGATCTCCAGATTAAACTGCTTGACTGGGGCAGCAGAAAGGTCAATGTGACTCAAAAGACTATAGATGATCTGTAGTAATGATTGCTGCATGCTGGACAATCCTTTCTCTAACAGCTAAAATAATATTAAAAAGTATACTTTTATTAGGTTAAGAAAAATTCAGTATTTATGATGTTGGAAAACATAATAGATTTAATCCATGATTTTATGGTTAGATGATTAGAAATCCAGAGACTAATAAATAATAAAGATAAAAGATAATGTCTATTACTGTTACTTGTCTTTGGTTCAGAAAAGGTCAGTAATAACTTCTCATTTTATTTATTTATTTATTTTTTATAACTTCTCATTTTAATCTTAGTTTTTTCTTTCATTTCCTTAACTAAGTTGACCATCATTTAACCATCAGTTAAGAAAAAAACCATCATCACCAAAGAATAACTATCCCCAAATCATTCATATCAGGCACACCTATTAGCTACATCATCTTGGACAAGCTTCTTAACCTCTGGGCCATGATTTTTTTAAAAATAATAAAGCAATCATGTGGCACCTGGGTAGCTCAGCTGGTTAAGTGTCTGCCTTCGGCTCAGGTCACGATCCCAGGGTCCTGGGATCGAGCCCTGCATCGGGCTCCGTGCTCAGCGGGAAGCCTGCTTCTCCCTCTCCCTTCCCCCATCTCCCTGCTCGTGCTCTCTCTGTCAAATAAATAAATAAAATCTTAAAAAAAAAAAAAGTAATCATACTATCTAAACTTCATATTTTTTGCAGGGCAATTGAAGTTAAATATATGTAGTTCTAAATATATGTAACTAGTCTCAGTACTGTTGTTAGCAATAATTTCAGAATTAATAATAATAATAAAACAAGGATAACTTACACTGAGGGTAACATTCGGGGCAAAGCACTTCCTCCACAGACTGAAAAACAGTCACCATATGTGGTACAGATCCCATGACCCCAGGATGGGAGAACCAGCGCTACTTTAGTGGTGAGCTTGATGGCCACCAGTGTGAAGCTGGTCTAAGGAGCTTGACTTCAAAGCCAATTAAGGAACAGGCTTAAGAAGTTAGCCTTGGTTTTATATTGGCTCTTGTCCTAAAGGTTTAGGTATAAGATAAACCTAGAAACTTGCATTTATTCAGGTTAAGAAGCTGCTACACATATCATTCCCACTGTCAGCTCTGCTTTGTTTTGTTTTTTAACTTTTTTTTTTTTTTTTAAAGTACTCTCTACACCCAATGTGGGGCTCGAACTCACAACCCTGAGATCAGGAGTCTCATGCTCCACTGACTGAGCCAGCCAGGCGCCCCCCCATCATCGTCTCTCCTAAATCTAAGGTTGATGGGAGCAAACCTATCAAAGCAACACCTTAAAAATGCACACCAGTCCTAAAGCATTTTATGAAAGTCTACATCTGTGATATAGCTAGGTTAAACAGTGTTATGGGCAATATTTAAAATGTTTATTGAGTTATGAATAATTTCTTTTAAGCTTATTCAGTGTTTTAGGTTTAACTTTTAGAGGTCAAGTTTTAAAAAGGAAGGTATCACTTTATAATAAGCTGACAAACATTTTTAGTGACTAGGACTTTTTGAGATTCTTTGTGGATATCACTCAATAATTTACTTTTTTAGGCATGAAGTTAGTTCCTCAACAAATACTAACTTTCTATGTTGTTGTAGGACTAGTGTTTTTATAATTCCATCTTTAGCCGCCCAAATCATGTTTTAGATCAGGAAGCAAATATATCATCAAAATAAGAACCTACCCAGCAGAAATGCCTTTGTATGCTGTATTATTCTAGAATGGATTTCAAAGTCAGGAACTTTTTAGAAGCAAAAAGTATAACCATCGTCTAGGATCAAGACTACTGAAAACTCATTTTTTATTTGAAATAAAGGTGAAATTTACATTTTGAGTTTTTTGTCACTTAAGGACTGAATGAGAAAATAAACACTGCAAATGAAAAAAAAAAAAGCCTTTATACTTGAAAGTATACTTTATACTTTCTTTACTTGAATTACCCATATTTTCCTTTAAAAAAGGATGTTATCTATATTCACTTTCAAAGACAACTTGAAGATTAGTATCAGTACTGCTTCTAGAACTAAGACCACTTGAAAATTTTGCCACAGAACAGTTAAAAAGTACTTTTTTTTCTTTTGGTAAATTTACCTCTGCAAGATAAGTCACAAGATTAAATGTAGTATCTGAGAAGGAGTCATGTAGATATCTACATACGACATTGATCCAGTTAGAACAGTCTCTGGAATACGTGTGTGTACTGTACAAGCTCATCATGTGAGCCAGATTGACAAGTGCTGGGCATTTTTCTTCGGCACACACCTAAAAAACAAAGAAAATAATTTCACTCAATAATTTAGAGGTAGATGTTGAAGCTTTAATGCATTTTCTTTAAATACAGTAGAAAAGTTGAGAGAAAAAAGCACAAGGCATTCGTAAGAGAATAACTTAATGGGTAACATGGAATGATTAATAGGTTGAGAACTGCCATGGGTGTTAAATAGGACTTTTGTCCTACCAGCTGCCTCTGGTAAAACCCATACATGGTTTTGTAAATGCTACATATCATTTGTAGCTGTTTTGTAAAGAATTTTGTTTTGTAAAATCCCTATGGTGCGCAGTCACTAAACAGGCAGGCTCCGTGAGGTTCAGAGATGCTGAGCCAGGGCAGAAATGCTTTTGTCTCCAGCTCCCCTGGTTCTCTGAGTAGGGCAGTCAACTGCAGAGATGCTCACCTGCGTGACACATTCAAAGAACTTCACTGGAGCTCTGATAAAACTCTGCGTTCTACCTCTCCAGAACATCCTGCATGACATCGTGCATGACAGCCTGCAGGATGGACCCCAAATCGCCACAAGCTCCTAAGGTCCTTGGCCAGTAAGTTAAGGTCACTTCAAAATGTACTGACTTCCTAGAGTTTGTTTGATCCAGTATTATGCAACCTGAATCAATAAATGTTTGGGAGGATCTTACTGACCATGTGCACCTTGTCTGTTCCCTGAGTTGCTGGTGAAGGTATTCTTTAGCCTGCTCTGGGGGACACCTGAACAGTGCAGAACTGGAAAGGGGCCACCCTAGTCTTTTATCCCTGCCTATCACAGAGCTAGCACTGAAATTTTGTCTGGTTTTCCTTTTCCTCACTTATTCTACCATCTTACTGATGTTTTGTCTGTATTTTCACAAACTGCCTAGAGCACTTAGTAAAGAAAGTACCGTTGACCCCTGAACAACGTCGGGGGGCGGGGTGGGGTGTTCAACTGTGCGGGTCCACTTATATGCAGATTCTTTTCAAAAAATACAGGATAGTACTGTACGCATATTTTCTCTTATGATTTTCATAGTACATTTTCTTTGCTCTAGCTTACTTTACTGTAAGAATACAGTATATGATACATGTAGTATAAAAAATATGTATTAATTGACCTGTTTACGTTATCGGTAGGGCTTAGAGTCAACAGTAGGATATTAGTAATTACGTTCTGGGAGAAGAAAATGTCATATGTGATTTTCAACAGTGCAGGGGGTTGGTGCCCCTAACCCCTGTGTTGTTCAAGGTCAACTGCAGAATATTACCTTTTAAAGTATATGTACTTTTCAACTTTCAGATGAATGTAACTGTTACTTTGATTCATCATGTGGACATTATCACTGGATAGGCCTGAAATAGGAAGGCATGCAAGGCTCTGCGGGCTATTAGCAGTATCTTTGTAAGTTATTTTATAAAATTGTTAAAAGCAGCTAGTTTCATGCATTACCCTTTTACCCATAAAACAGACGGGGTAAGAAGAAAAAAAAATTTGTTGATGTTTCTTATTTTGTATTTCAAAATATAATAATTAAGCATACTATTTTTAAAAATCACAAAATTTTATATTTTCACAACTTGTTATTTTTTAGGAATCATTTTAATATTTTAAAGTAAGTTCTTTAAAATTTTAAAGTATTTTTTTCCTGAAAAATAAATCATTCTTATAGAACTCTTCTGTCCTCAAAAAATATTTTTTTAAAACATGATTTAAAAAAAAAAAAAAAACAACAAACACCTGTTGTTTAAGAGGAAGAAAATTCCTAGGAATAGATGCTGTATAATTTTATAGTAAAGACAATGGCTTAGATTTAATTTTGGAATTTTTGAATGACCAGGTTAAAGTATGACCCCAAAAGAGTGTGCGAACATTTTCAGCATACTATTTTTGCCATAATGAATAGCTAAAAAGGACAGGATGTCTTAAGTGTTGCCTCACTTTGAAGTTCTGTGCTCTCCAAGGGAACAAACAGAACTGGGGATATTTGCATAATGAGGAAGCACATAATGGCAGAAAATTACTTTCAACAGTTTTAAGTGAGAGGATAATTAAGGAATCAATTTAATTCATATCCTGCAGGTTGCTGAAAGCAGAGGGAACCTTTTTGTCCTGCTCAACAGGAAGAAAACAGACTTAAAAACAATTTATGACTCATAGAAAGCTGTATTTGGTTTCTTAAAAACAAAAAGATATCTGGGAGTTTCCTGTGCTTTGCCTTGGTCCAGACAGCAGAGGCCTGACCCTCTGAGGGGCTTCCACATCCTTTGGGTCAGGCCAGGCTGGGCTCCTGTCTTGGGCCATCATTTGGCAGGAGGTTCTCCAACGGCCATTCTAAATGCTCCTACTTCCCTCATTAAAGGACTCGGGGCTTTTTATGTTTTGAAATCCCAAAGTAAGCCAATATACTTTTTTCCCCTTTATACGTTCTTTCTTACCTCTCATGAAAAAAACCCAAAAACTTGTTTACGACATTCTTCTAATGATAGGTCATTAGAATATTAAAGTGAACAATATTTTAATAAATTATATCACTTTTAGACCTCAGTAATGCAAATGCATGTTGCTGGGTTTTTTTAAGGCAATCGTTTTCAAAATTAAGATGTTTCCACTAACTGTAACTCTTCTTTTTTAAATACATGCTTTTCAAACGATTATGTTAAAAATCTCTCCGTATCTAATTTATTTAGCAGTGTAATCAGGGAGGGATTCAATTGCACACTTTATTAAATATTACCTTGTCATTTATTAAATAGTATCTCTCAAGATAACAAAAAGGTTTCTATGTGTGTGGCTTCATGGGGATTCAAGGGGCTGGGGTAGCTCAGAGATGAATCTGCACTTGCAGGCGCTGGGATCCGGGCCCTGGGGAAGCGGGTATTCTCTTTGGCTTTCTGCGTGCTTGCCCTTTCCATCTACTGTTGTGTTACTTGCTAAATGATCCGCAGCTTTTAAAAGGTTGCTCATATAAAAAAAAACTCTTCCAGAGAATTTCACTTGCTTATTCCCTTTTGTTGCAAATTTCTCTGATTTTTCTCCTCCTGTTTTAGCTAGGTTATCTTCTTTCTGCTGCTATTCACTCATCTCCCCTAGTTCAGCTAATTTCCTATTGTATGTACACGACTTGTGAATTTATAGAACTCCTTCTCATAACGGTTCATATTTTCAGTCTGTAAAGCCTTTTTTCCAAGACTCAATGAGTGACAGAAAAAAAAAGAAGAAGAAAGAAAATTAAGAGTTAAGTTTAAGCAGAATGCGAGGTATTTGGGTTCTTCATTGTTCTTGAGAGGAAATTATTAAAAAATCATACTCTTTTTAAAAATTATGATGAAGAGCTCTAACACTTTCAAACAAATGTTAACAGATGATTTAAAAATTGGTACATTCCTGTTTCAGAAACCTTCAGAAGGAAAGAAAATAAGGGAAAGAAAAGAAGGAAGCCAGCAAAGAAAGATGAAGATAATGTTAAAAGGCAAAAGTAAAGGGAGACAGAACTTGGGGAGTCCCAGAATGTACTATGCCCTCTACTTAAGACTCGGGGCCTTTGCGCATGCAATTTCTCCTGCCTGGAAACCTAACCTCACCCTGCTCCCTAGGTTCTCGTCCAGGGATCTTATTTTGGTCATCCCTATTCAGCCTTCAGTGTCGAGGCAGACTTTTGCTCTCTGTGCCCCTGGAGTCCTATGCTTTCATTGCACACTTATCAGACTCTAGGGCGATTGTCTACTTATTTGCTTGCACCCCTACTGTAAGGCCCACAGGGGCAAGTATTCTGTCTCCTTTCATTTTCACTGCATTTCTGGCACCCAACCCAGTGCTCAGCAATATGTGGTAGGAAACAAATGAATTGGAGACTGACAGAGAGGTAGAAGATAAAGTAGGGAAACAGAGCAGAAAAAGACTCAGACTCAGAGGAGCATTACACTAGACAAATAATTTTATTCACTATGATTTGAACAGTAGTAGCTTACATCATTACTGTATATGCATGAAAAGAATAAAAATTTAGATGTGAAATTTCACAGAGGAAGTGACAGTAAAAGATTTGAGATCCCCCCTTTAAGATGAACTCCAGAAAAATTTCCCTTTAGCATTATCTGTCAGCATAACATTTGCTTACCTTTGCTATTCGACTAGCTGTTTCTTTGCAAAACTGAGTTGGGCTGTCAAAATGCTGGATTAAGTGAGGCAATAAGCAAAGGATGTTAAGAGGAAAGCCTATCAAAAAAACAAAAAGCAAACAATAACCAATTTTATTGCACATTATTTAAAAACTAAAGGTATTTTTTTTAATGGTTCACAGAAACCATTTTCTTTTTATTTTTTGGAGCACCTGATCTTCTACATTCTTTTTTTTTGTTGTTTTTACCAAGGAAATTAAGCTATCTCATATATTCAAACAAACAAGTCAACCCATGACTAGTTGTGGAAAAGCAGAAATTAGTAGACTTCAAAACAAATTAGTTTACATTTCACTACATTAAAAAGCAGAGAGTTGGTGCAATTCTATTAACATCACCTGACAACTGGGAAGGATCCACCAGCGTGTGTTTGGAAACAGCAATGAGTTTACTGAGGAGGTGCACGGTCATTTCTTGCGTAGAGACTGAGGTAAAACCCTTAAGGAAGAGCTGCTGAAGGCCTGGAAAGTTATTCCATTTCAATTTGCTTTGTACATTTTCAATCTTCTCTCGACTCTCCAATTTATCCAAAGGCAAATGGATAAGCAGTTTGTTGAGAAGCCTAAGAGCCAGGAGGTATTCATATTCATAATCTGATTCTAATAAAGATGCTGCTATCCAAAAAATGGTGGCCATCAAGTTGGTAGGCTCAGTAGTGGACTGCACATCATACATTCCCTTCTCTCTCAGAGAGGAAAGGCTTCTAGTCCTTGCTAAACTATTGCTATGGTTTATCCGTCCATCCATTATATCCAGTGTGTTACTCCGCCGCCGGTCACCTCTTCGGTCACCAATTAAACTTAATCTCAGAGAGTTACTTCTTGCATTACTGTTATATCCCAAGTAACTGCTACTACTAATGGGACTTGTGCTTAGATTGAGTTGTCCAGTGCTTTTCCTGTTAGCTGCATACTTGTTTCCCATTATAGGATCATGGTATGAGGTTCTTTACAAAAAAAAAAAAAAAAGAAAAGATAAATGCATGTACAATCACTTCTTTTGCTACATTAATTTTACTCTTGAAAACACTGAAAAAACACTGTTACCAGGAAAAATTACGTTTGAGTCTATCTGACTTTGCTTACTTAAATTTCAGTTCTTTCCTCCATATTAAAGCAAAACATACAATGGTGTCTTTCCTACTGTGGCCAACCGTTTCCTGTGAACTGGAGGATGTTTGATTTGAAGTGAAAATTCTGCCACAGTTATCACTGACAACTTTCAGCTCTAGGATTTAGTAAACGTTATGTCCAAAGCAGAACTCATCTGTCTTCTCCCCAGACTTGATGGTCCCCATGTCCTTATTTTTGTCAGTGCACACTCTTTCCCCCCCAAAAAAATCAAGCTCAAAAATTTATTTTCGATTTCTCCTTCTCCCTCACATCCGATTATCACCGATTTAAAAATAATGACAGAATGCTGCCTAGAGGTGCCAGCAGTATGCAAAAGCACTAGCAACACCGAAGTCTGTTGGGAGAGACGGAGATGGGAAAATTCATAGTTTGTTAATTACTGTTATTAAACTCTGAAGAAAACCCCCGAGAGAACCCCCAAAATGGAGTAATTCGCACCACCCTCAGGGAGTTAGAAATGCTTAGCTAGGTGGTGACATCTGAGATGGGTCTTGAAGCACAAGCCAATTCGGGATTTGCAAGGAAGAGAAAGTGGGAGAGGAACAGTTTGCAGCAGATGTGAGTGGGGAGGGGGCTGGCCGGCTGTGGGGCAATGGGATGGTGGGTGTGGCAGGAATGGCGCTGGTCCGTGGTGCTGACGCCCCGTTGCGCAGCAGAAAGACCTCTGACTAGGACCTCAGAAGAACAACACACCACTAACAGCTCCGTAAGACTTTTCACACGGTCTCCCTGTCCTCCTGTGCCCAATGGTGATCCATCTGAGTTGTTTGGTATTATTCTCACTACCAATATGAGAATAATATAATGTCATAGTTATGCATATTTAGCTACTGGAGTTCTATCTACAAGTCTACATTTTGTCTGGCTTAAATTCTTACTGAGAAAGGGCAGAAAGAAGATCATAATGCTTCATGGTTTCAGCCAAAGTATCAATTGCAGATTCCAATGTGAGAAGAAGCTCAATCACAAATCCCTAGGGGGGGGGAAAAAAAAGGGCAGATTTTCATTAATTATGCTCTGGAAAAAAAAGAAATTGCAACGGACTTCCCGATGAGATTTAAAATTAGAACAAACTCAACATTAATATTACAAAATGATTAAACTCTTGAGCAACATGATCTTGCTGATTGATGAAAAACTCATCAAACTAATGGTTATAATGGCACAATTCACCCAAAATTGCTCAGGCCAAAAATCGGAGTCATTTTGGTTTCTTTCTCTCACATCTAAATTAAACCCATCAGCAAGTCTTGAAAATACTACTTTTAAAATATATCTGAAATCTGATCCCCTCCCTATACCTCCACAGCTTCCCTTAGTCTAAACTACCCCCATTTCAGTGTGGACTTTTACAATAAGCCCCTTAGCTGACTCCTACTACCCTCCTAAGGGCTCTACCTAGCCTCTGGAGTTTTCTAAATAGCAAATTATATCCATTACTTTTCCTCTCAAAGCCTAGAAGTATTGTTTGCCATCAACTCAAAGTAAAAGCCCACCTCGCACCAGGGTCTACTAGACCTCACATAATCTGGACCTGCCCACGTCAACCTCCTGACGTTAGACCCCCCCATCCAATACGCTAGCCATACTGGTTTGCTTCATGTTCTTCAAAGAAAGGTCTACTGCTTCTGCCTCAGGGCCTTTGCACTTGTTGGTCCTATTTATCTGTCTGACACGTTCTTCTGGATTATCACAGGCCTCAATTCATTGACGTATGTGTTTAAAACTCATCTTCTCAGGGGCGCCTGGGTGGCTCAGTCGTTAAGCGTCTGCCTTCGGCTCAGGTCATGATCCCGGGGTCCTGGGATCGAGCCCCGCATCGGGCTCCCTGCTCCGTGGGAAGCCTGTTTCTCCCTCTCCCTCTCCCCCCTGCTTGTGATCCTGCTCTCACTGTGTCTCTCTCTGTCAAATAAATAAATAAAATCTTTAAAAACAAAAAAAAACCAAAAAAACCCCTCATCTTCTCAGATGATCATATATAAAAACAACTCCCTCTCCCCTGCCACTCTTTAACCTATTACTCTACCTTGTTATTTTCACACCATTAAACACTAAATAAAATCATGTTACATATTATTGGTGGATTAGAGGCTTATTTCTCCAATAGAATGTGAGCTCCAGAATGCCAGGAACTTTCTCTTGTTCACTACTATATTCAGTGTCTAGAACAGTGTTAATAAAATCACTAGTCTGTATAGACGTAAGTTCTCAATTGCATTATTTCACTTAATTTATCTTAAAAATTCAGCACTCTTCATTTAAATTTAACTTCCTATCTCTTTTACCTTGTGGTCATCCCAAAATAACATCCAAGTGTGCGTGCGTGCATGCGTGTGTGTATAAATGTAAAGCTTTCTCAGATAGGCACTAAGTATTTGATTCAGTTAGTATGTTATCAAATATTATTTACAAAACTGTTTCATAATAACCTGCTTGTTAGCATCTGACAGGAATTCTGTGTAACCATTAGACCTGCTGTGCTCTGTACTTGGCAAATGAGTCCTTGACAATGAGTAACTGCACAATGGCTACTGAAAGAATTTAATGCAATACCTGTGCATCTTCCCCTGGGTCCCCTACAGTTTCTACAAGTCTGGAGAGAACATCAGAAAGTGTAGTTGCAGAAAGAGGCTGCTTTAGGGCCCTGAAAATCTGGAAGGATCTCCCAGCATAGTGTCGAGAAGAACAAGAAAGTGCTGTTTGCAGAGCAACTTCACTAAGATGATGTTCCAAATGCATTCCTTCTGCGAAGACAAAGGATGGATACAAGTGAGTGCGTCTCCTTGTTTGGAATGCAGGGTTATCATCAGAGGTTAACCATTTTAAACCCAGTGCCCAGCACACTGCCTGGCAAACTGGGCAGGCACTCAGATTTTAGAAGTCAATGCTTTTTCTTTTCATTAAACTCCATGTGCATTTTAGAGGACTCTTCAGTCTAATCTCCAGGGAAGTATTCTTTGAGAACAGGGTTTCTCAACCTCAGCGCTGTTGCCATTTTGGCCAGACAAGTCTTGGTTGTGAAGGCTGTCCTATGCAGCATGCTTGCTTAGCAGCAGCTTGGCCTCTGCCCAACTGGATACCAAGAGTAACCAGTTGTCCCCTGCTCCCCAGTAGTGACAAAAATGTCTCCGGACATTGCCACATGTCCTGAGGGACAAAATCACCCCTGGTTGGGAACCAGTGCTTTAAACAGATACATTTTTACTATAATTTTCAGTATGTGTTAATTTTAGATCATAGAAGCCTGTTACAGTATAAAACAGAATTTAAGTTTGTCATCTCCACCTGTGTTCCTTTAATGTTCTTATTTCCTAATACATAACCACACTGTAACTTTATGCCATCATATATGAAATGAAGAATCCCAGAACGTCACAAGTGACTTTCGTATTTTTTAAGGAGTAACTGAATTTTTCTTGAACCAAAACAAATCTGTTATCACAAATGAGTTAAAAAAGAAAACCTGTTTAGGGGTATCTGGGTGGCTCAGTCGGTCAAGCGTCTGCCTTCTGCTCAGGTCATGATCCCAGAATCCTGGGATCCAGCCTCGATCCAGCCGCACCCCTGCCTCTGCCCCTCCCCCTGCTTGTGCTCTCTCTCTCTCTCTCTCAAATAGATAAAATCTTAAGGAAAAAAAAAAAAAGAAAAGGTCTAAAACTTTTTAATGTAGACGTGTCAACTGTCAACTCTTTGCTAAGCAGTATCAGGAATTTTCACATCACATTAAAATATCTCCTTGAAAGTAAGTATTATCTGAAATATTTAATAAAAGATACCTGAGCTTGACTGCTTAAAAACAGAAACCACATGTTTCAAAAATGTAGTTAACTGCTCAGCACTCTTTATGCTAGGATTCTTGGCCGAAACATCCTCATGGTTCCAAAGGGGCCCTCTTTTTCTGAAAACAGAGAACAGACATAATCCCTTGGTTTTAAACTGACATTAACAGTTTCACTCAGTCACCTAAAATGTGTCTTTGCCACTAGAAAGGACAGTAGCGGAATAAATCAAATAGCACGCACACGGTCTACTACTATTTATGTACTCGAATGTGTAATGGTCTATGTTAAGTAGAGGAAGATCCGGGTTCCATGAAATTTCAGCCTTCCATCATTACAGTTAAATTCTCTCAGAGATGGTAGATAAAAGGATGACAGATTCTGCCAATGAGAAGAATAGTGATTTCTGCTTCTGTGTTATAGGTCACAGCATAATTTGGAGAGGCTAGACTGTATTTAGATTGTAATGCAAAGAAAATAATTTACTAGCTAAAAATACAGGAATGTTTAAGACAGAATGGTTTCCTCTTTGCACCAGCGTCTACTAGACCTCACATAATCTGGACCTGCCCACGTCAACCTCCTGACATTAGACACCCCCATCCAATACACTAGCCATACTGGTTTGCTTCATGTTCCTCAAAGAAAGGCCTATTACTTCTGCCTCAGGGCCTTTGCACTTATTAGTCCTATTTCTCTGACATGTTATTCCGGATTATCACAGGCCTTTAAAATATCTTTGCATTCTCAAGGCTGCCAGCTTGGTTAGTAAGGGTTAAATTCCTTATTACCTCAGGCCCCAAGTGCCCTGAAAATCTTTTATGTGCTCACACAGCCACCAGTCTGCAACACCTTTAATTCATCCTGTTCATTGCCACGAGACTGACTGTTCTCGAAATATTTAATCGTGTCTCCCACCCTTCCCATCCAGCTCAAGAAATTTCAGTAATTTCTGTTTTCTGGAAAGATGAAAGATCTGTAGCCTGTGGCCTAGGCTTCATGGCCCTCCAGTCTGAATTCTCCCTTGCCTACAAAGTTTTCTCGTCTAGAAACATTTCCCCCAGCATTACAGTCAGACTGGATTACTCACCATTTCCAAACACATTGTATTTCTCACGCCCCTGATGATTCTGCTCTTGCTGCGGAACACCAACCCCCCTGTCCCCATCTATGTTTCTTCCTTACTGATGGTGCCTTGCAAAGAGTAGGCCATAAATAAAAATTTGATGACTGACTGATAATGGAGCTAACGAAAGTGGAATATGTATTCAGATAATACTGTATTCTCTTTGGCCACTTGGTATCCAGACACGATTAAGGCCCTCCTCAGGGATAACTGTGAGCACAAAAGAAGAAAGTCTTTGGAGGCATCAAATTTTCCATCACACAACGCACACCTGTGCATTCCAAATCAATGACACGCCAGCAACGAAAAACAGGGTTCACCGTAGCCGACAAATGAAAGAACGACTTAACACAGCTATGAGGCCGGAATGGTGAGAGCTGTAACGTTACCTTGAGGTAATGAATTCCATGAGGGTTTTGACTTTTCCATCCTGCTCTACTGAGATGTCGACCTCATTGAGGATAGTGGTGTGCAGATGGGAAATGGCAGCGCTGTTATTTCCTAAGCTGATACTAGAAGAGGTAGAACTTGAGCTAAGCCCTGAGTCAGTCATGGGGGAGGGCTGGTAATCAGGTATAAAATCACCAACGCCCGCTGAAAGAGAAAGACGGCCGTGAAAACCAGACAGGAAAGGATCGCACATGCTATTTACACTTAAACTCTCCTTCCTTACACGTTCTACGGGACACATGCAGGAATCTTAGCGCCAGCTGATGCAAATCAGCGTTCCTTCCGTGGGAGCCTCGTCAGCACCAAATTCCAGCAAGCGAGTTTGGGGGCCAACACTGTTTTCCACAGCCTACTATTAAAACTTAACTATCTGGATTTCCTGTGAGGTCTTCTGCTGCCATCTGCTGAGGAAAGTTGAAAGTGGCACTTTCCTAATATTTTGGCACATTGACTCAACATGTGTTGAGTCCAGGGTTTCCACAGTGTGAACTGATTTTTCTTATGGAAAGGATTCTATACCTTCTGCTTCATTTTACTTGAAGAAAGGTAATTTTCAAGTCTTTGTAATATTTATGTCAATTATTAAATTCTTTTACAGGTTGTTACCAATGCCGATCTTCACAAAATGGCAAGAGGAGTCTTAAAAACAAACAACAAAAACAAACTATGGAATTTTAAATAAAGATGCTTTAACATAAAAGAGGCATAAACTTTATTCTGTTAATCTTTTAATCACATTTTAAAAGCTGAAATATTTCCTAATAATTGTTTTCTTACTAACTACATGGGTTTAAGTAAATAACGGGTTTTAACTAAGTAACTTTCACCCTGTATCTGACATTATATGACTTGTAAAAAATGTAATTTTATTTCATTTTTTAAAAACAATTATTTTCTAGATCATCTATTAGTAACTTGATACAGACAAATGATTTAATAAGTAAGTTAGGGCTATTAGGAAAGAAGAAAATATAACTTGCAAAGTAAAAAAATTCATACCAACAGTGAAATAACTTTTATATTAGAGTCAATAATTTGGACCTCATTACTTCAAAATGTATGATTTGGAACTCACTAGACTTAAAAATGCGTAACATTTTAAATATAGTAAATATAGGGGCACCTGGCTGGCTCAGTCAGTTAAGTGTCGGACTCTTGGTTTCTTTCAGCTTAAGTCATGATATCTCAGGCTCTTGAGATCGAGCCCTGCATTGGGCTCCACACTCAGCAGGGAGTCACCTTTCCCTCTGCCTCTACCTCTGGCCCCGCTCACATGTGTGCTCTCTCTCTCTCAAATCTTTTAAAAAATAAATACATACATACAGTAAATATAATCAAGTGAATAAAAAACTTTAAATGTCTTCCTTTGTCCATTTTTCAGCTCTTGAGAGCACGAGGAATCTAACACAAGTTCAACATCTTTTCCATTAACTGTGCTCAATCAGCTAATAAGCACTCTTTCACTGATCTTCAACTTACGTGTTGAGAACTTAACATTTTTAAGACAAAGACCCTTTTTAAAGGCAGTAAAGACTCAAATACTCCAAGCTTAATTCTTTTACTAGTTAATAAATAATGTATATGGTACTTAAACTAATAAAACTACATTAAAAAAAAAAAGTATTTCAACTTTTATTTAGTTGACTTTCTCCATTGCAGATTTCAACTTAATGAAGCACGATTCCACTGTCAATCAAATTGGGCATTTGGAGCAAATACCTGTGAAAGTGTAATCTAAGTGTGCAATCTGTTTGACTGTAAGCACCCTGGGCTCATTGAACTCCTTGTTCCTGAGAAGGACAGAAGCAACAGTGCGGATGTTACTGTTGGATCCCATTACTATTAATAAGTGCAGAAGCAGGCGTTTACAATGCTCATACACCTCAGGGTGGCAGTGGTCAAACCCTAGAAAGGACAGTAGAAAATCATCATCAATAAAGAGAAATAATGAGTACTCTCACTTCCAAACACATATTTTAAAGAAAAGCAGACATTACAGAAAATATTTTGTAGAAGATGATGTACGACACGAAAATATTTATTGGCCTGGAATTCTTATACCCTTTTACAGTAATGGCCTGTTGTCTTAGAGCAGCAGGGAGAATCAAGACAAGTTTTCAATGTGTTTTCTGTCTAAAATTTAGCCATCTATTAGAAATTATTACTCTGAGCGTGCCTGGGTGGCTCAGTTGGTTGAATGTCTGACTCTTAATTTTGGCTCAGGTCATGGTCTCAGGGTTGTGAGACTGAGCCCCATATCAGGCTCTGCGCCAGGCATGGAGCCTACTTGGGATTCTCTCTCCCTCTCCCTCTGCCCCTCTCAACCCTGCTTCTCTCCCTCTCTTAAAAAGAAAAAAAAAACAAAAACATTATTACTCTGTTGCATAACACTTTATGTAAATAAATTTCATAAAGGCAAGCATTTTTTGTGTGTAGCGCATAATGCAAAGTCAGTAGATGTTTGACTACCGAAGAAATGAAGTAATACATATATAATGAGTGTGCATATCAGGAAAACTTCAGAGAAGATGGCTACCTTGACTTGCATTCAGGAAGTCAATTCTATGAGCGTGAAAAGTACCGCTGATGTGATGGATCCCACGTGTCTGTTACCGAGGGCCCAGTGGAGTTTCAGCTGTAATAATCAGACTGTCCAAAATCCCAAACTTTTGGGAAACACTTAGAACCCATTTTAATTTTCCATTTACACTGAAAGTTTCCAGTTCCAGAGGTAAATTAACTTTACTCTTGCTATAGCTCCCGAATTTCTCCTGCTAGAGGGTTAAGTGTGTTTGTGAGCAGTGGAGGGGGCCGCAGGACAGGAATGGGAATGTGGACAGAGGACCTATTTGTGGTTAAGAGAGAGGTGAGGACTAACTCCCTACTGGACCACAAGGATCACTGTAAAAAGTGTCATGGAAATGATATACAAAAAAACGACAGCAGAAACACTGAAAAACTAGACTGTCTTGAAATTATCACCGAAATATAATGGGACATTTAGAACCAATATTTATTACCTATAAAAATTGCATGAAGAAGAAGATGGAGGTAGCTTCCCCATTCCACCTTCACACTGTGATCAATGATCAGATCGGTCAAAAGGATCACGGCTATGTTACACCTGTGACAAATGAGAATGCTATTAATGTCCTATCAGAGTAAGCCTGGAGAAAATCTTATGCCAGTTACTTGAAGACTTGAACATTGTATTTTATGGAAAAATACAACTTCTCAAGAAAAAAAGAAGAAAAGAAATATAGCTGAAGAAACCATTAAGTGATAGTTTTAGAAAAAACATTACCTGCTAAGGGCTCCCCCAAGTCAAGGGCCATAATTTCTTCATCTTCGACCCTGACACCTAGCACGCACACTGCTTGCCCCATAGTAGGTGTTCAATATGTGTTTGATATATTAATAAATTTTGAAAGAATGTGGTAACTGTTCTATTGTGACTTCGATAAGTAGAATTCAGTTTAACACAATTCAAAATAATAGTGCCTCGTGCCATAAAATATTTTTCAGATGTAGTAACTGGGTCCCAGAAAGGTCAAGTAACTATGCCAGACACCCAGAAAAGCAGCAGCAGAAGTAGATTTAATAATATTAATTGTAAACAGAATTCTGAGTTTGTAGATTTCTTGAACTCTAAACACATGGATCTCATTTGTTGCAGTATCAAACGAAAGAAATGGCTTTTTATTCCATGTTGTCAGATAGTATAAAGAAAGCTGAAGGTGTTAAGCAGCAATTTGGCTCATATGAAATAGGAATGATGCTGTAGTCCACCTGTGAAGAGGTAATCCAGGTGATGACGTTTCAGGCAAGTAATCCACCAGTGGTGACCAGCAGCCTCCAGCTGGTGGGAAGGGTAGTGGCTCTCCTTGATTATGCTCCATCACTTTCAGTCGCCAATTAGAATAAAGTGGCATTGAATCACCTATCAAAATAAAATGATCTCATTTTCTACACCATCTATTTTCTGCCAACATAAGCAAACTCTAGTAAGACACCAACTATTTATAGCATTGGAAAGTGATAAAAAATAACTTCCCACTCTTTTGACATAGGTCTGCTAGGAAGACCTGGGTACAAATATTATCAAGTCAAGCAAATCAGAGAGAGAAAGAGCTATCAATTCAGGTTCCATCGTTTATATCAAAGCAAAACTACATTCGCACTCCGTTAGATTCTGGAATTGATGTCCAAGCCATGAAACCACATCATAGGTGAAGCTGCCTTGTAACAAGGGCCTTCTGGTAAGTTACTCAATTCTAAATTTCCTGAGATAGGGCCAATATAAACCCATCTTAAAAGGAAATCTGCTCTACCACAGTGGGGCTGCAGGGTGCAGTAAAAAATGACATCAGGAAATGTGAATTCTGTGTGACATGGGTAAGTCACTTAACCTCTCTGGACCTCAGTTCCATCATGTGCAAAGTGAGGAGATTGGACCAGATTATCTTCAGGGTCCCTTCCCAGTCTGAAGGGTGGTGCTATTCCACTCTACCCCAGTGTTAGAGTGAGACTCAGATAGACATTCACTTTGCAATTGCAAGGGAGAACTTTTCAGTAAAATGTGAATCCACAGAAAAAGAGCAAACCTGTTAAAAAAAAAAGCAGGCTGTAGCCAGTGTCTACGATGCTTCTTGAGAACCAATTCTTATGTTCCTTTTGATTTATCTATAAGGGAACCTGTGCTTTGAAAACAAATTTCCCGCATTCATGCTGCTTCTTAAAATCAGGACATTTCAGATTACGTTGGACCACCACCAGTGGCAGTTAAATACTCTTCTTAAAACCAATTTATCAGAAAAATATATTCACTGATATCAATATAATAATTAATAATACGCCTCGCCATTGTAGTTATAAAAAACATGTGGAATTTATTACTTTTTTCTTCTTCATAAGATCCTCCAGAGCTGCTACTGTATCGAGATTCTAGTCTGTGATGTTGACGATTTAAGTGACTGCTTAGTCCACTGTAGATGTCTAGGTGCACATAGCTATGGGAATGATCGTGGCAGTTAGTCACAGTTCATGGTAAAATGGTATTTGTACTTTCGGTTTCACTTTCTACGTTTAAAAAAGAACACAGTACATAAAATATTAACAAAAGCTTCCTATGATAGATCTTAATTTCCACCTTACAGTTCAAAAGCTTAAGCTTTTAAGTCAATTATTTCTACCTGAAGACTTTTCCTATATTGTGGTAATAATGCTCTGGTGAAACCTAGCTTATAAAAAACAGGCAGAGTAAATAGCCATTTAGAAAAGTCTAAAAATGTAAACGACACAAAAAGAGCCTGGACATACTCAATCTATTCATCCATTAGAGCACATAAAAGAATCTAGCATGTCAGCATTCTGATGATAAAACAGTTAATGTGGAAAATTTCCAAAACGGAAATACATTTCTTCACTAGAATTCTGAAATATACATTCAATGAAATATATGCTGCAATGCAGAAATGATCATTTATTCTGATGATAATGGTATCTGTCAAACTGAAAAGCTAATGAAGAACAGAGAGAGGTACTTACCTCTCTTCAATATTCTCTTTAATGGGCTTATTATCAGGATTGCCATCTATGGGAGCTACCATTGTATTGCTACTGGAAGTAGTTCCTGCAATCAGAAATAAAATAGTATCTGTGAACTTAAAGCCTGGGATAACTCAGTAAGAACAAAAAATTTCAAAATTACAGATGTTAAAACTCCACTACAATGAGAGCAAGGTGATTTTTAAAAAGGAATGTACTCATAATGACCAAGAGAGAAAGGAAACAACAGCAACTAAATTCTAGATGCTGGAAAACAAATGGACAAGAAGTAATTCAGCTTTGAAAAGGCTGAATCTTAAAGCTGGTAGTGGGGGAAACCAAGAAGCTTCTGTATCTATATTGCTGAACCTCCAAAAGACTCAGGAATTAGCAGCACTGAGTACCTCTGGGAGTAGGGGTTGAAAGTGTTGCTAAAATGGCAGGCTTGGGCGCCTGGGTGGCTCAGTTGGTTAAGCGACTGCCTTCGGCTCAGGTCATGATCCTGGAGTCCCGGGATCGAGTCCCGCATCGGGCTCCCTGCTCGGCAGGGAGTCTGCTTCTCCCTCTGACCCTCCTCCCTCTCATGCTCTCTGTCTCTCATTCTCTCTCTCTCAAATAAATAAATAAAATAAAATAAAATAAATCTTAAAAAAAAAAAATAAAATGGCAGGCTTGGTTGAAAATCTACTTCAGAGGTAGTTGGTCCCCACAATCTATGCCCCTCCCTCTTGTAACTGGGTAGCTGTCTCTCTCCACTTCCAGAAATCTTTTCTTTTTTCAAGTTTACTCATTTAAGTAATTTCTACACCCAACATGGGCCTCGAACTCATGACCCTGAGATCAAGAGTTGTATATTCTTCCAACTGAGCCAGCCAGGCACCCCCAGGAATCTTTTTGGATAAGAGTAAATCAAAGATTTCTGGACTAGGGCACATTATATACAGCTGAAGGAGGAAGAACTTTATTGAGAATAGGGGGATTGAGTGAAAATACACACACTAAAATTTGAGATTATATCCCCTTGAAAGCTGCTCACCCCATGGGGCTACCAGAAGGCTTGAAGACTATGTTGTGGTATGTGTGTGTCCATCTGTGAATTCTATGTATTTGTACATACACACAGCCCTACAACCTCTACTTTGGGTAGATGACTAGCAGAGTTTTGTCTGGGGAATCTAATTAGTCCAAGAGACCTATAGACACTTTCATCAATGAAATCATCGTACAACACATGACAAAGTCAACAAGCTCCATATATACCTACAAAACATCTGATCAATTTTTCAATATTCCACTCTTTATCAAAAAACAGATCTCAAATTGGTAGGCTTTTGAGGAAAGCTTTTACTAAGACAAATCAAAACAGAGCAATATAGAGAAAATAGGCTCTTCTGCCGGGAGAAGAAAGTCAGATATAAAAGACAGTCCAACCATGAAACATGAATAAGGCGCTCTTAAAGAAAAAAATTAATTAAAAAACAAACTCTTTGGAATTAACACTCTGGCAAATAAGAAAAACTCAATGGAAGTGGTATTAGAAATCCCTGAGAAAGTAGAACAAAAGGAACCAAAAGATGAAAATAGATGACAAAAAATAAATTATAAAAGATTCCTAATTATACAGATGTTATTAACATGTCAGAAACATTCAATTTAAACTGAGTGAAAAAGAATTTTCATGGAAATGTAATCTGAAATAGTCCCGATATTATGCTGATTTTCAATGGAAGTTATTCCCTCAGGGACATAGTTTCTTCAACTCAAAATATTACAATAATTATATCTGTATATACATATAACACTCACATGACTGGATGTTATGTATCATATATGCCCAAATAATTATAATATGAAATTACAGAGTAAGTCAGTAAGTAAGCCTTTTCTATATTTAACACACTAAGTTTATTTGTTACAAAATGCTTGTTGTATAAGATATATAAATCTATATTCCGGTTCCAAACACATATGTGTAAGTGTGTTTCCCTCTGTAATACTAAGTACCCTTCCACTGTCAAACCTCTTTACTCCTATGGGGATTTACGAAGTCTTGTCAAGTTAATTCCCACACATGACTCATGTTTGCTTGTGTTTCTTGATGCTGTTTAAAGTACATGCTCGCTATGATGAATAGTTATGTAAAGCTTCTCTTTCGAGACAAAGTTATCAGTTTTAAGTGACTTCTTACCTGAGGTGACCGAAGGGATTTTGCAGCTGGAAGTGATTCGGTAATACGGGGGGTTGTCCATGTGCGTGACGCCTGAGCTGACGGGATCGGTCAGCTGCAGCTCACTCACCAGCTCTTCCAGCAACTGCATTGTTTTGTCTCTACCTAAATAGACAATAACTTTCTTCACCTGTCACAAGAGAAAATCGTTCAGAAAAGAAAAAGCACAATTTTTATTTCATAAACTGGAAGCGGATTTTCTCAGATAAGATCAACTTGAAATGGTAGATGAATTAAGCACAACTCAAATTTAAACACTGATCCACAATAAGACATTAATTGGCTTTATTAATAGGGTCTTCCGTCTGGCCCTCAGCATTGTATTTGGTTGGGATGACTTGACTGTTTAATGGTTTCTGCATTATCTACTTCTTTACTATTTTGTCTTTTTTTTTTTTTTTTTAGAAAAGCAAAAGATAATTGCTTTCCTATAAATCAGCGTCTTTTTAATGGAGAGATTTCAATTAATAATATCATCCCAAATTTCCTCAGACTTCAAACACAGGATTTTTTATTCTGCTTCCCCTATTAATTCTCTATTTAACCCAGCAGGTACAGAGTATTGATTAAAAGCAAGGAATCAGAACTAAACTGGAACCCAAACCACACAGCCTGGATTGGAGTGTAGACACTTGGTAGCTATGCGATTGGACAGTTACTCTCGGTTTTCTCTTCTGCAAAATGGGGACAATAGCACGTATTTCATACAGTTGTTAAGATTAAATAAGATTTAATAAAGCACTTCAAGCTTGCCTAGCACGTAGTAGGAGTAAAATAAGTGAAAAAAAAATTTCAGTAGTACGCATTCTGTATGTAAGTAATATGTATTAATGAATCGCTTACTAACTGATCAGCCTATGTCTCTTTTTTCTTTGTAGTTCAATCCTTGCAACTCAAAAATGTGGTCCTGCCGGCATAGGCATCTTCACCAGGAGCTGCTAGAAATACAGAATCTCAGGACCCACCCCCCAGAGCCAGAACCAGATACCCTGGTGATTCACCGGCACACAGACAACTGAGCAACTCTGCCTTATGTGACCCCTGGGCAAATCTTTTTTTTTAAGATTGATTGATTGATTTTTAGAGAGTGGGGGCAGGGCAGAGGGTGAGGGAGGGAAAGAAAGAATCTCAAGAAGACTCCCAACTGAGTGCGGAGTCTGACTCAGGGCTCTATCCCAGGACCCCGAGATCATGACCAGAGTTGAAATGAAGAGTCAGCCGCCTAAGCGACTGAGCCACCCAGGCGCCCCACCGCTGGGCAAATCTTAAAAAATGCCTTATTGTATCATACCAGAAGCCTTATAATAATTACCCATGGATAACTGACCTACACACAGCTCTGTATCTATCCAACCTGCTTTAACTATTTGCTAATTCTCTGTTCTCAGATTCAGTCACTGCTGATCCTACCAGGTGCATTCTTGCCTCCGTGCCCCCTCCACCCCCAACTCTAATCCTGTTAATCTTCAAGCCCCGGCCTCACCCCAGCTGTACTGCCTTCTCCACAAAGTGGGAATTCACTTAGTGACAGAGCTAATGGCTGCCCAACACTGAAGAAGTTACTCTTCTCTGTGCCCTGTTTTATTCATCTGTAAAACTGCTGTGATCTTCACACACTCAGATCTGGGAATTCAATGAAACAATGCAGATGAGGTGCTTATATCATGCCTGGCCTGTAATAAGGGATTAAGAATGATAATTAAGAAATTACGATTGTCATTAAAAATAGCTCCTTTTCTAAGTTCCTGGGAAATGGTTATTGCCCGAATTTCATCTTGGCTTCATGGCGCTTGTGTCTTCTTGCAGCCCCACCCACGCGTTCATCCATCCAATTAATAGGTACCTTCTATGTGCCAGGCACGATTCCAGGCTCTGGGAAGAGAGCAATGAACCGAACAGACAAAATTCCTGCTCTGGAGGACAGAATCTACTGCGCTGACTAAAGCAAAAGCAACAAGGCGAAGAAGTAAAACATATGTTTGGTGATGACAAGTGCTGGGAAAATCAACAAAGCAGGGAAAGGAAAAAAAAAGTACGTGTCAGGACAGGGCACCTGCAGTCTTCGATAGGATGACCAGCAAAGGTCTCAGTGAGAAGGACATTTGAGGAAAGACCTGAGGGAGGGAAGGGAGGGAGCAAGGTGGCTGTTTAGGTAAAGACAGGGGGAGTGCAAAGGCCCCAAGGTGGGAAGGCCACAGAGCAGGGCAGCAAGGGGATCCGCATGGCCTCAGGCAGGGGGCATGAGGGAGAACATTGGGAGCTGAGCTCAGAGAGGTGAGGTGGGACTTTGTTGTTTCACACCACAGCCGCCTTTCTCTAACAGCTTCTCAGTGAATATTAATCCTGAGGCATGCAACAGTCACGGTAACTCGGGAAATGCTAGGTCAGGCAAAGCTATTAAATGGTTTGTTTGAAGTAGGACCTGTAAGAACTTTGACAGCAACATTCCGCACAGCTGTTCTTCTGTGGTTAGGAGACGCTACCGAGGGGCTGACATCGACGTGTGTTTACACACGTGTGCATTTGTGCACCTGTGTGGATCCAGTTGAACCCTCATGTTTCATAGTCTCATGTTATTTTCCACTTGAGCAGATATAAGTATTGCTTTCCCCTCTAGAAGGTAAAGACTGTGACATTCTTCATTGCATACCTCTTCCTATGTTTCCCCTTGCTTCTGGAAGCCGTCGGCACAATTCTACATGCACTGAGCTCTCTCACTCACCATTCTGCTCTAATATCTAGCCTAGCAGAAAGCATAAACACTCTCAATTTTGTGGTCTCACATCTAGATCACTGCCTCTCGAGGATCATCTCCAATCCTCCCAGAGAGCCATGGTTCCTCGGTTATTCACTCTCAGTACTCTGCAATTTTCCTCTGCAGCCCTTATCAAGACTGCATTTTATTAACTTACTGATTTATTCATTAAATACATTAGGTGAAGGTTCAGAGAATAAAATCTCCATCACCCACCGGGCTGAAAGGCCCAGAACCTAGAAGAGCACCTGGCCTGTGATCAAGGCCAGACAGTATGGGTTGAATGAAGCAACGAACAAAGGCACGTGTGATTTCCTGGAGGGGTCCTCACTGTGGGCCTTGCTTTGCTTCTGCTGCCCTCCTGCTGCCCATACTCTGGTACTACAAGAAACCAGGTAAGTTTTATTAAAAAAAAAAAGAGAAAGAAAAAACGAAATGAACCTGAATACATACGTAAGGCAAGAGGCTTGGTTCACTATTCACTCCACAAACGCTGATCAGAAAGTGCAGAATGATTTTCAGGTTTTTTGGCCAGCCGTCTGCAAGCGTGGTCCACACATTCTCCACCTCCGACCAGGCCAGCCCGTCCCCGTACTAGATGCAGGGCACACAACGTGAACTTCAGTGAGGATTGCTTATTAAATACCCAACTTATCACACCATCAAATACTAGAAAATCGTTTAAGAGACGATTTAATCTTTTCCGAGCTCTAGAGGAATAATCATTTCTTTCAACAAATCTGAACATAAATATATCATTAATCATCTATGATATTCTCTCCTCCCCCAAGAACATATTTTGGATCTACTGAGAAGTGTTTTAAAGGAAGGAATTTGGTTCTTTTCAAACAAGTTATCTGTTTGGTTATCACAGGATGATCTGATCTCGTCTATTTCTAACCTTTTGACTCCTCTTAATAATTCTGTGCAGCAACTGTGAACACAAACCCCACTTTACCTTTGCTGTCATGTACATTAGATTATTCAAAACCATCGCAGTGGCCTGTGGAGATCCCCAGCCTTCTCCTCGCAACCAGCGCCTGCTAGTCACCATAAGTTCTCGGTCTTTTAAGGAGTCGTCTTCATCTTCCTCATGCCGCCTTGCTGTGGGCAAAGGTCTTAGATCTACCAACTCAATGTTGTTCATCCACGGTAAGAGATAGTGCAGCATTACTTGCCTCCCAGCAGGGTGAGCTGTCTGAATTCTCTGGCTTATCTCTGTCATTAAAAACAAGCCAAAAGAGGAAACAACCGGTATCATTTCCGTTTCCTTTGATTTGTAATTAACCTCTGGTAAGATATGAGATCCCGACCAGGGGAGAGGTGGTGTGTGGGGGAGCTGGGGCCCCAGCAACGGCAATGACCTCCCTCAGGGAGACAGGGTCTCTTGAGAAGGAGGCCTAGGAACATGAATACTTAAGATGGAAGAAACGAATCCACCAAAAGTGACAGAAAAGGAATAGCTCACAGTGGAAGGAAAACCAGGAAATAATAAATGTCTAGAAATCAAGAGAGCTCAGGATTTAAAGAAATGTAAGGTGACTAACATTAATTGCTTGGCAAGGTAGCAAACAGACTGAAGACCAAAAGTTGATGATTAGATTTAGCAGTTAGGAAGTCTTCAGTAAGTTCACAGAGAGGAAACTCACACTGATGGAGTCTGAAGGTCATTTCTGAAGATGCACAAGGACTGAGAACATGGAAAAAGTGAATGTGGAGACTCAAGGCAGGTAAAGGGATGCGGGAACGGGTCAGAAGTGGGTGGAAAGGCGGAAAAGGATGGGAAGAGCCAGGGAGCTGAAAACACTTAAAAATTACCACAATTGGTCCCAGAGAAAGGAAGGAGCAGGACCCTCAAATTTCAAAGTGGGCAAAGTTTCTATCGGTAAGCTGCCCCATACAATCCCTAACAAACACTCTGCTCATCTTGCCTTGGAAACAGTAAAAGTGAAAACTGCACTGAGCAGGTTTACAGGCTATATTTTGGTTTAGAATAGACCATTTAAAGCAAGGAGTTACAATTAGCAGATCCTAATGACGAGTATCTGAAGACAGAAGTGAAGGACAAGGCGAGGGAGCTGGGGGCATGGTCTACACATCCTGGCTGCCCTTGCCACCAATTTCTGGAGCTCCGAGACTCAGTTGGACTGCTCTGCTTGCTCTGTGGGAGGCTGGAGAAGCAGCCCGGCAGAGGATTGGTGATCCAGGCAACCACCGCTCCACACTGATGACCACCCACACTGATCCCGAAAGGGCTGTCAGGACTGTTGCGAAAACGGAAGGGCATGATCCCTGCCGTCTATCAGTGCAAACCAAACAGCGAAACTGCTTTAAGAACCAAATGTCGGAGGAATTTAAATAGATTTTTCCTCATTCAGGTCACTGAGGGATGAGAAACTATTTCTACTGCTGAAATGGGTGCTGTGGAAAGATGCTCCAAGGAAGCTAAGGTCACTAAATCTTGAGGCCAAATGAAAGAAAAGGATCCATGGCAGAATCTTGTCATCTCCTGGATGCCCATTTTGGTGCATGTCCAATTCTCAGATTAAAATAAGATCTCGCTACAAGTGAAAGGCAGAAAAACTACCTAAGTGTTCTGTGTTAAAAATCAGTAAAAGGACAAAGCACTCTAGGAGCACATGCAATAGTGTGTTCATCGGGCGGAAGGTTAAACTAAATTTTAAACAAAAATTGTCCTAAATCTGAGTCCTGGGAGATCCACACAGAGAGGACATCTTGCCTGACACATAGTCCCGCAGTTTTAGAAACCCCTGGAAGGAACTGTCATTGGCCCAAAAAAAGGAAATGGGAACAGAAAGCAATGTGGGATCCTAGCAGTAGTTTTGCTCAGGGCAGTACAGGACCTTCCCCTATGATGAGAGGTGTTACTTATAGAAAGAAACCTGTATCTTTATCCCTGCCCATTTTTATTATTAAAGACAGACCAATACACAAGATAAAATATGTACTAAAACACTTAGGAAGTTCTGTGTCTACCCAAGAAACATCTTTAAATTGCATGTGAAGCCCCCTCCTTCCCGCCCCCCTCCGCGGGGTGGAGAAGGGAAGGCAAAGTGAGAAGTCTTGGCAAGACTACAGTAGTAAGAAATCTATATATATTGATAGAGTAGTATTAAACATTCTTACTAAAGGAAAAAATTTT